ATTCATCCTGGGATAAACAAATGTTTCACCATCTGTAAACTGCCTAGTACTGACGCAGCCATCCAAACCTACTGCTTCCTTGCCACCAGCAATCCCATCATTTTTAGTGTGAAAATCTTTCAGTACTGTGCTCCACAGAGTATTTTCCCCAGGTAGAGGCAGCCCATGGAATATGGGTAAATCATTCTGGTAGCCAGCCTGGTAATTCTAGCATCAGCCCTGGCATGGGCAGGAGACTACAACTTGGCCCTCAAATCTCTTCCCTCATCCAATAGTGTTGTTCTGTGGCCATGAAATTATGCACCTAACCTTGGGGGAAATACAAATTACTGCATCTCACACGACTGTAAAACAAATTTGCTTGGCAACAAGACACAGTACATTGTCTGTGGGGAGCTATACAAAAATGTATCCTCTTCTGCTCTTGCTACATCCTCCCATTGTCCCCAACAGGGAATGCATGAAATCTACCAAGACCTTTTTCTGCAAGAATTTTAAACAATTAGCACAATTCCATGAAGGAGTAATTTCTGTGAAGCAACAGGAACACAGTGAGAACAGAGCCCTTTGCAGAAAGGGCTCTGCACTGTGGGCTTCCTCTCAAGGCATGTTGCCAGTGCTGTACTTCCAGTTTCTATGACTTTATGTTCTCTTGCTTTCTATACTTGGATAATCCAGGTTCCACTCCCTTTGCACTTGGATGCTTTGGTAATTCCATCAGTTCACACAGCTAAACTTCTGCTCTTCAAATATCTCCTGAAGTTACATCTGCCTCATTTCTGTAATTGAGCAGTTATTAAAGAAGTTATTTTCTCCTACATTTAACTCTTTTGTCAAACCTCTGTTTCCATACCATCACTTGGTTGACTGTGCATGTATAAACAGTTCTGTCTCTCCTCTGAACTAACCTGAAAGCTCACTGGAAGTGGGATTGCATTTGATAGTTTTTGCTCACCATCAAGTACCCTAACTGCATCAGATTATGAACTTGAATCATAATTGGCTTGATTAAGGCAAAAGGCATGATATGTAAACCAGTGCTTGAACATACACTGAATGTAAACCTTGCTACATAAAGTATTTTATTTTCTCTATTCTCTGCCATCTAAACTCCCTGAAATACCAGGAAATCACTTTCCTAAGTCATTACCCTTAAAATAATCCTCATTCTACATAACCTTGTAGTGACAGAAGAGCAAAAAGTTTATGCAGATGGCAATAAAGCAAGCAAGATTCAGTGTCACTTGAAGTAGTAAATTATGCATGTATTACAGGAATCTACAAAAGCCAAATCCTATGCATATAAATAATAAAACCAGCTTATACACAGATTTTTTTCAACAGTTTGAATCATTTTTACTTCAGTACAAAAACTACTGTAGCATGCTAGAAAAAAACCCATTCCTTAGTCATACATATTATGTATATTACCTGTATGGCCATCTTCATTTTAGACTGACCCTTTTTAATGCTGTTTATGGCTGAGATGTCAAACTGAATATATGTGTTCTCTGCCCATTTTTGGAGTTACTTTTGTTATTCACTTAAATGTTCTGTTTTCTCTTTCTATATATGTGCTCACATACATATCTCTCTCTCAGTATATACCCCTTCCTATCCTCTCTTGATAAAGAGATAATAGTAGAAAGTAATGCCATTTAAAAAAATCTTTAAGACTTCTGTAAGAGCACCTGCCGAGATGGAGCTTCTTAGTTACACAGCTGAGGAGTTTTAAGCCAGGCCAGTTCTACAGTTGCTGCTGTAGAGGGTGAAGTTGAATAACAGAGGTCAAACAGGAAAAAAAACAGCAAGATCTGCATCAGGCCATGAGAGAACAGATGACTTTGGAAGGGAGCTCAGACTGGCTGTGGCACTTCTTGCCAAAGGGACTGAAGATGGGAGAGCCTGTTTACCTTAGTAAAAATCCAAGGGGAATGGGGAGGATGAAGCAGCGTAGGAAGCTCCTTGTAAATGGTTATCCTCCAGTCTGCACCAGGTCTAGTAACACTTGGGCTCTGTAGGTTTCCTGCATGGTATCTAGGCTATGTTCAGTCCTAACTTACCTTCAGCTGAAAGTTCTACTTCTCCTCAGTTCCTGCTTTTCTTACCAAAGTAGTGGAGATACCCACTGTGTAAGAAAGAGTTCCTACAGAGGTGGCAGTTTCCCAGCTGGGTGCCTGAGACAGCTTGAGACATTTGCTCATGCGCTGACATCTCATTTGACAGGGCAGGCAGAGTTACTGAGGTAGCAGAGGTGCAAAAAAGCCCAAAACAAACCAAACCCCCCACCCCCCCCCAAAAAAAAAATAAAATCACAAAACAAATGAAAAATCAACCCAGCAGCACAGATGAAAATAACAAAGCCCTTACTCTTAAAAAAAAAAAAAAACAAAACAAAACAAAAAAAAAAAAAAACCCAAAACAATTAACACTCACAAGCAGTCAGGAGACAGCAACAAGTAACTTTGTAGGCAAAAGGTATTTCAGTTTTTGGCATGTTACCGGAATGCTGGAGTAACTGCACCTTTTAGGCTAAGTATTATATATAAGCAAATTGGCCCCATTTGAAAGCAGCAAGCTTATGCTAACTTGGAATATGTACAATTCAATTCAAAGCTAAAGAGCTACACTACATTTCCATGACATTGGTATGACCATGCATGAGCAGTTACCCAGATCAGAGCTGAGGACTCTCATGCTCAAAAAGGACAAACCACTTAGCAAGGAGTAACATTCAGTATTTAGATGAGAATTAATCAGATCTAAAAGAAAAGGGCATTTGGACTGACACAGAAAGCTATGAAGGCCAAAATTACACTTAAGCAGGAACAAATCCATTACCAATAAGCATTCCTATTGAGCTACATCAAAGCATACAGTGAGGATTTTCACACACCTTTCCAGCCTCTTATTAACGTCTGACACCCCAGTTCACACCATCATTTGTGCCAGTGCAACCTGACTGTCTTTGAGCAATTAACCCTTGGGCTTGAGAGACAGCTAGTGCTGAGGAAACCTTTTACTATCAGTGCCAATTAACTAATCTTTTAAACTGCAGCTGATGCACAGATGAACTAAAAGGCTCCTATTATAAATGATGCTGCATCTTTTGTGGGTGGGTGCTAAACTCAATGAAACAGAAGTAAATCAGAACACCTTTGCTTAAAAACAGAGTGTTGCCATTATTTTTGCTCCCCAGTAGCAGTGTCAGGCCACACAAGGGTACATGCACACAGAGGAGTCTGGCCCTTTATCATGCTCCAGTAGAATACTGGTGCCCCTTATTTCTGAAGATGGACCTAGGAACCTGAACTAGCTCTGAACCCAGAGACCAGCAGCAATGACCCCAGTCTCCCCAAGTGATTTTCAGTTATTCTCACAGGGTTCATTTAAACAAATTGTGAACTTTGAATGTTACCACTCAAAATAAAGAAACAAGTTTTCTTAGCAGATTGACCTTTGCACATGCCACCTTTGCATATTTATTTTTTAGTACATGAAACCCAGATTAATTATATTACACTAGGACTGACAAAAAAAAAAAAAACAACTTAATCCCAAATGGACATGAAATGAGGTACTGAGTTTTATTATACTAGTTCAAATATTTTACTTTGAGTACTACAAGGAAGATAAACTAAATTGAGTCACTGCTTGAAAATGTTCATAATACTGAACTAAGGCATGAAAAAGCTAGACATGAAAATAACATATATATTGGAGAATGCCATTCGACATTTATATTCTCAGTTGTTACAAATTCAAGCAAGACTGCTAAAAGGGAGGTTCTCTTGCTTGTGACTGCTTGCTAGCACTCTTTTTGAGTTACATAGGGGCACTTCTTCATACTCCTGGCTCCCTTGTGGAGTACCTCACTCCTCTGTGGGGTAGCCAGTACCATAAGGATTTTAAAGCGTGTATGGAGGAATGGAACACCCTCATGTCCAAAAATCACATGCAACACGCAGCAAGTTAAAGCCCTCTTCTCCCCTCTAGCAATCAGCTGTGATACAGCTACAAGCTTGGAGTTTACTTCTGTCTTATCTCCTCCAAAAGGTCCTTCTTGCAGCCTATCTTGCTATCAAGCTGTGAAGATACCAGCACATCTTACCATAAACTGCTTCATTTAGATTTCCAGCAAAACCGTCATCTTGAATAGCTCTCTATGTACCTATAAGAGATTCCAATGTGCACACATATCCCATGTCTGAGCTGTCCAGACAGGTGGTTTTGGCCTTGTGTTTCCTCTCACTGACATTTTGTTGAATTCACAACTTCATCATGAAGGGTTATTGGCCTCAAGCTTGAAAAGACTAATCAGTAGGCAGAGCCACACCTTGTAAACAGCAAAAAGTGCTGGCTAACAACCATCCCAGTTCTTAATGAAATCCCAAACATATTTTCAGGTCGATGCTCTATCCATCTGTTAGTGTTTCATTCAATGTGTTATCTATTTTGAAACTTATGAACTTGCATTTTAATATGCATGTAAACAGAAATAATTCAAGAACAGCATTACGGGTCTCTGATTTGTTGTGAAAACATGATAACCACCATGGGGCAACAGACGGTGTAGAAGATTACTCAGACATGCCTGGTGAGTACCCTGAGAACACGTGAAATCCCAAAAGGAAGGACAGGCTGCAGATTTCATATACACAGGAGCAAAAAAGAAAATCTGCACTTGAGCAAAAAAGAAAATCTACACTCAAATGGCTATGTGACCTTGCCTGACATGACTGTAAAGGTTTAGTCACCTAATTAATCAAGACAATCCTCTTTCATAAAACTTGTTGCAAGTGAAATATTCCTAAGAGTTTGTGACGTTTTTTTACTGTGGTATATAGACCAGACACTTCCCATACATGCTTGATTTCTCAGATAAAATTCAAGCTGGATCCATGAGTGACTTCTTAGATTATTCCTTTCCCACCAAAAAGGCCACTAACTTTTCAATGTAATTCTTATTTGCTTTTTGAAAAAGCCACAATAAAACTATGTAGCTAAAAAATGTTTTATTTCACCATTATTTCACCATTAGCCATATTACCAATATGCATAAAATGGTGGCTATATTTTTGTTCAAAACAGTTCCAAATCCCAAGAAAGCTCTACTGAAAACATTAACCAAGCTTTTATTGCTATAAAAATAAAAATTATACATTCAAAAGGTGTCTACACTTTTAAACAATAAATTAAACTTTGTAATAGCAACATCAATTTACATTTCAAATTATTTAAAAGAAAAGTACAGCGTAGGGTACAAAATAATCTCTTTCCTTACCTTCCAAATACATCATAAACAGTCTTTTATTCCTTTAATGCACTGGCACCTAAGATCTTAGAAGAAACTATAGAGTGCTACATGAAAAGAAAAAAAAAATTAAAAACCTCCAGCTAGAGTCCCTAAATGGATATTATCTTCCAATATTTTGCTGACAAAACTCTCTGGCAAAAATGCTAACTGAACTTATATGAAAATACAAGCTTAGTGACTAGAACAGTGAAATTTTCTTCAAAACTTGCCAAAAAACTCAAACAACTTTGGCTCTCCCAACTGTTGTGCAATTTATTCCAGTACTATAAACATGTTTCCATATAAGTTGTAATCAAGGTCAGGTTTAACCAGTGCATCATTTGTGAGAATAAATGGCAGGCAGATTTTTAAAGCTTTTATAGGGCTGTCCCCAATATGTACCTTATATTTCTCTATTAAGGTTACACAATGAAGTGTGAAAACCTAAATAAATTATGTTTAGTGCTCACTGCACAGGTTCCTGGAATGTCAGCACTGATACTCATCTTTTATTTTGCAAAACCTGGATTAGAAACAGATTTACATTTGAGCACATACACTAATTCCCCACCTAATTTCTCCTAATTCACTTCCTTCTAAACCCCAGACACTAATTCAGTTCCTGCTAAACCCCAAGTTTTCAATCATGTATGCAAAGCTCTGAATTAGAAGGGCACTGATCAGGACTAATCCAAGTGCTGCCATGCTCACCTGCTGCTTAACTGAAGCAAATGAAGCCCACTGCAATTAACACTGCTGGGCTGAGCTTTTTAGTTTTTTTTGGGATGGAGTGTTTTGATATCCTTGAAAACCCATACAGATACACCTGATTTCACTTTCAACTAGACTGCTTAGGTTACATTATACAAGTACAACTACACTAAGATAGATCAATATAGGCTGTGGATTTACTGTGCAGGATATTTCAGTCCCTTTCCCAAAGGAAGGCAGCCCTTTTTCCTTACTTCCTGAATCAGGATTGCAACCAACCATGTGCAAGAAAGTTGACAAATAATGAGGTGTTTGGCCTGATGATGCACTTTCTGTGCTTCAGTGGCCATAACTGCACACTAGCTGAGAGCAAATTTGCTTTATGACTAGGTAAGCTGCACCCACAACTGAGAAGGCACTTCTAGCAGTTAACCTTTGCATCTTGTAAGAAAAACTAATTTTTTTTTTCCTTTTAAAAGGTATGTTTTGTACAGAATTTGGTAAATAGCCATTCCTTACTTGAAGATTTAGATTTTAGATTTTTGTTTTATTTTAAAGCTTAAATTCTAGCTTGGTACAAGACTACTTCCTGATGCTTGGGAGAGCAAGCTCCAAAGACTATTTACAAAATGTTTTATTCTGCAAAAGGCTGATAGAAATATGATGCTACTCTGGCTTAAGTTGGTATCTGATGTTAGGTAAGGGGTTTAATAGCCCTAACAAAGCATCTTATTCCTCTTAAGCATGCAGAGCAACCTCAACAGTTATCCAGCCAAATGCAGGTTTCATTCATGTCTCAGAAAAATACATCAAACGAAAACAGACAATATAGTTTTCAAGAGGAAAATATTTAAGAAGTTTTTTAATGTTACTGAAGAGCACAAACCAGTAGATGAGGAAAATGTTCCACTTAAAATTATTTTCTTGGTGGGTTTGACAAAAATTAAATCCCATGGCCAACAGTATAGCTCTTTACTAAAGAAATTGTTCCAAGAGGAAGGATGCGTTTAAAACACAGAAGTGTTTTTAAGGAAAAAGAGTAAAAAAAAAAAAAAAAATATCTTTTCCACCCCTACTTTATATGTTAAAAGCATTTTCATGTTCACAATGTCTGATTTTTTTTCTTTTTATATTTAAGTTGAACCCAGGTCTTATTTGCCATGAGGAAACAATTTCTTACATGCTTTTCCATATATCTTTATGATTTCTACCACTGCTAGCAGCACTGTTTAGAAAAGGGATCAGTTTGAGACTGGTCTGAACACCACACTGCCCCTTTAGCAGGTGAAAAAAAACATCCTTTCTTAAGCAACAGTGACATCACTTTTACCTGTCTGAGACAAAGCCAGTTTCACACTTGTAGGAAACCTCAAAGTGATTTTATAAGGCAAAACAATGACATTTCAAGAAACAAAATCATATAAGTCAAGTAAATAGAAGTCAAACAATTAACAGTAAACTGAAGTGTTTCACTAATGTCTATAAAAATAAACACTTTAATATTTTAAATACAACTTTAATTCAAGGTTAACCAGCAGCTAAACCCAAAATAAAGCACAAACTAAGACTACTTTTATCCAAGTAGTTTGCAAGCAAATGTCTCCTCTTGAGATGAATTTGTTTAAAAAAAAAAATAGGATACCAATATTTCCTGGTCTCTTACAGTCCTTATAATTTGTTTTTTCCTATAATATTATTGATATTCAACATTTGCTCTTTATATGAGTAGTAAGAATGCTACTATCACAAAGTTAATCTGAGCTGAAAAATGGTTAAATCCATTGATGTTATGTGGTACTTATTTTATCAAAACATTGTTTTATATAATGAATTAATCATTCACTTGGCCTTTGAACAAAATATTTAATGAAAACTTTACCTTCTAGATAGCTTCAGTTAAGAAAGGTTTTTAACCAAGTAGACTGGTTGCAGGTTACTAATCAAAATACAAACATTTCCAAGCACATGTTTTCTTGAAAGGCTGAAAGAATCAAATAAACTTGCACTTAAATGCTTCATTTCAGGATAGAAAAATAAAGCCATTATAAGTGAAATAACTATGTTTAAATTATAATTGACTGAATATGAACCGTGTGCATCTATTTTTAACATTTATGCATTTAGTCTGACAAAAGAATACTGTCTACAGGGAAGAGCTTTTTTGTAAAATGTATCATACTAGACTTTAATAAAGCCAATGTAAAGGTCATTATATAGTTCAGAACTAGAGTTCTTTTAAAATACACATATATTTAACCAAGTACTGCATAGTAGGAAATATGAGGGGGAAAATAACAGTTTAAAAACTGAGTCCATATGAAGGCTTATTGCTGAATTCGTGGTTACATTCTGACTGGATATAATTTAGTATCAACACCTAAAACACAGGATCATTAAAAGCAAACCCCTAGATTAAATTTTTTTTTTTTTTTTTTTTTTTTTTTTTTTTGCAAAACACCACCACTATTCAATGTTTGGTTGTATTTTAATGACTTGTATTTCATACATCTGGTTACACAAAAGGCATTCATGGTTTAGGGCACTGTTTTTCTTATTTTTAACAAATAGCAAGACGGTCCCTTTTACTTCTGTCTCAGAAGTGTTACCCTGTGAGATTTCTGAATACATGCTGAATAGGCATTTTAATTACTTCCACATCAAATATAAAGCCACTAAGTTTAAATTTGTTTAATTCTGTAAATAAATGTTAGTGTATTTCACAGTGATGAAAACGTCAAGGGTTTTATTGCTCCCTCTTCATCCACCACCACACCAGACATTTTGAATACTTATTTTCACGACCATACCAGCACAGGAGAAATCAAGGGTAAAATGTTTATGAAGGTTATACAGAATCTTTTCTTCACAGCACTTTCTACCATTTGCTAACTGCTTGACAATTAAAAACTTCATGCTCATGAGTTTTAACTCCCACCAAAATCCCCCCAAACCAATCAATTAAATCTATATCTTTGTGATTTCTTAATTTTTGTGAAAACAAAAGCTGGTGGTAAGATGTTTTCATAATTATGCTTTCATTGCAAGATCAGATCTAAGGCATACTTCATTCAGTGCAAAGTCATCACACACTACAGAAAGAAGACAAAGCCCCTTCAATTCTCCCCTATGCACCCTACAGGTACATGTGCAAAACTCAGCAAGACTGAAATAAAGATGGACACAATATACAATATACTTGTGTAGTTAATATTTCCTCTAAGGTATTAAAAAAATGAAAAAAAAAGTATAGATATTACTATTTATATAGCTTTGAGTATTATCTCTGTGGCCAGCAATTTCAAGCAAGTAATAAAAATCCAAGATGGTAGTCCCCAATGGTATTACCAAACCCATCCAAGTTTACCAAAACAAGAGCAGCATTTGTTGTCACAATACGACAGTCATACATTAAATGCACACTAACTAACACAAGTCAAGCCTATACCATGTATCTTGAGACTGAAGTTATACGAGAAACACATTTACAGTGCTTTGGTAAGTACATATTAAACATGAAGAAACATAAATAGCAATTGGATTATAGGAATAACCTTGAACACAAAGAAACTTCTAGTTCTTCCATGAAAGACACGGATGTCAGAAAGATGCTCTAAATATTTTCTTACAATTTATTTTCTTGCCTTTTTTCACTTCTTGACAAACTATTAAATGCAAGTCATGCCATCTGCAAGGGATGACTCTGAGACCTGGGCACAGGAAAACTCGGGGAAAAAAAATGTATGTTTTAACAGACAGGCACACAATAACAAAGCTTCCCAAGTAATATGTGGATGTCTATTATCATTTTGCATTTGGATTCACAGACTGATTGAGCTACCTGATACAATTTAGCAAGTTAAGAGTGAACCGGTCCTTTGTTTTTTAACCTATGCCCAATCAAGCAAGATGACAATGATCCAACATATTACAGAAAACTCCAGTCGAAGGGAAATTTGGAATGCACTATGTAAACATGAGCACACACCTATTCACCATTCAACCTAACAAAGTAGGTTTCCATGTTGCCAACTACTCTGCACATCTCAATTAAAACTCTTTTGATCAATAAACAGTAACCAGATATCTTCAGCAATAGCTAAAAATGTAATCTTGGAGAGAGGATGAAACCTACAAAAGACAAGTAAGTCAGCAATTTAGCTCATCCTACATACACTTCCTAGTTACCTCCTGGGGGAAAAAAAACATAGTCTTCCAGTAACATGAGAGATGCATATTGTACAGCTGTGATAGTTTCTATAATGAAACTCCAGTTATAAATGATAATATCCATATACAAACCATAATTCTAAAATACATCTGAATATGTGTGTGCATATATACCTCTCTGAAAAAAAATTATCTAATTTTCTCTTTTATACATATAAACATCTGACTAATATGCCCCATAAAAATTTTTCCTTATTTAGCACTAATTTTTTAAATAACAGAGTTTTAAACAGTCCCTTAGAATATTTTTAAACACTATTAAAAATTAATAACTATCTCAGGGTAATCAAAAAGCACACACAAAATAATTTAACATTATACAAATGTGGTTATACTGTTCAGAAAGTCCAATTCTCCCATCTGAAATGAAATAGAGACCAGTGTACCTTAGGGTGAATTTTTCATCAATGTACAAATTCATTCTCTCTTTCCATGTAAATCTTCAGGTAAATTTAACTGTGTTTCTGTATAAGAAACTGTAAATCTGGAGAACTCTTGCAAAAGGGAGTCATGTTTCGCTGGATGAGAGCGCTTTGCTGGAGGGCAGCAAGTCAACATTTTATCAGCATCTGAACACTAGCAACACCTGTGCCCTTGTAAGCTTCACACCTTGAAATAGCAGCAACATATTTGATGGGTTCAGTAGTAATTTTTCTTCCAGTATTGGATTAGACTACTTTGCATATACAGTAAGTCAAAAGTCTAGTACTTGTGTGCAACATTAATCCACATTTACATCTGAGAACTCATAAATACACATGGAAACAAACGTGACAGAGAAAAACCTAATTTTAAGTTAAAGTGTTTTCAGTCCACATATAGAAACAGCAGTGAAAAGTATAAAGGAGATGGGTAACAGAAACAGAAGAAAAGGGGTGCAATAACTAAAACTGTAAAAAGTAGGTCACTGTCAAAAGGGCAAGTTGCAACTAAAATTCATCAACAGAAGATGTAGACTGTACCATCTGCATAAATGCCTAAATGCAGCATTATTTTCACATCACATACAGTAGATGTGATTTCTAAGCAGCATATTATAACAGCTGGCATACTCACTAATAGATTTATGGTAACTGAATACTAAATTTCTCCAGCTCAGTGTACAGTAGTTATGCATTAGCCTTTAAAGCTCTTTGTCAGCCTTTTAGTCAAGATTACAGTTCCATGGATATTTAGTATCCTAAAAAGGAAGCTACAAATATTCACCTTCAATGAACTTTCATATGATACAAATATACCTTCTTAAGATGAATAATTTCAATAATAGTTTTCCTTTTGCTATTTTAAAGGAAACACAAGGAACTTTGTAACTTCCAAAGTAAAGGGTGTTTTAAGGCAGTAAAAGATATATGTTAAGGTTTCCATGATTGTTTATGGTTGTCTATGTGAATAAAGCATATTACACACAATTGCTGTCATATATTTATCTATGTGACTTTGTTATACTGTACATGATTTAGCAATCTTCTTGCAAAATTTAAAGTGCCACAGTTCAAATGTGCTCATCTGTCTTTTCATGGGCTTCTAGTCCATTCTAGTTGCTTTCAAAAAGAAGCCCTTGCTTTGCTTAAAGAGCAGGTTTTTTAGGCAAAAAAAAAAAAATAATCCTTCACTGCTGTGCTAACTGGAATCCAGTGGTCGAACCAATCCTTCTTTGTAAACACGAAGAATAGCTTCACAAACAAATTTGTATTGACTCTGTGGAGGAAAGAAAACACAAAAACATTTACAGATGTTCAGTTAAACTGCTGATTAGACAGTATTATTGAACAGGACTAACAGCTCCATGGCTTCCTTTTTTCCTGAGCAATGACAGGATGCAATACAAGGATGGGAGGAGAAAATCCTACTTTTCTGTCTGTGTTCACAGTAAACAAAGCTGACATTTACTCTTCCTTGAAGGACAAGCATTAAAAAAAGCACACACCAAGGAAAATATAGTTCCCAAAAACTAATATGTGCTTAATTTTCAGGGAAAAGGAATTATTTGAAAAAACTACGCATGACTTTGGACTAAATTTAACTTTATATTTACCTTCTTTATACATCTCATCTATTTTGGGGTGGGTTTGGTAGTTATCTGATTATTATGACTATTCAGAGCTTGCCAATCCTGCAGTTACGTATTAATGGCCACATTTAAAGTTGACATATAGGATCTATAGGTGCAACTACCTAACTGAAACCCTTATGTTTTTTCCCCAAAACACCTACAGTACTGCAGAAGGAGTCTATTTTCAATTTTTGATCTGACCACATATCTCCTTTTGTAACAGAAGGGGATCAAAACCTTTAAAATTAATATTTTTTAAGATCAACAGCCACATAAATTCTTCTCTCACCCAACATTTTGTTCTCACTTAGATCTTAAAGTCTTCACAAATTAGAGTTTCTTTTCTGCATTATACTATTACAAAGATTAGCTCTTCCATGTCCTTGTAATGTAACTATTTGTTAAAAACAATTAGCCTGTAAGCTTCTTCCTAAAAAGTGATACAAGGAGACATTATCAATAGGACTAGTGCAGAACCAAAAATCCAGGTAGTGTGAATAATTTTTTTTTGACTAACACAATCCTGAGAACACAAGATGATTGAAATTTTTAAAATTTGCAAAGATCAAAGCATCTTCACTTCTTCTGTTAAAGTACTATTGTCAAAACCCCCAAATGAACCCTTTTCTCCAAAGTTCCCTGTCATATATTCAGAGAAGCAAAGGTTCACATATTTCATATCCCTTTTTTTCATCTTTGAAATGTTCTCCCAGCTGCCCTTGTATTGTCAGCTCCCATCAACTCTTCTGAAGTATCTGGAAACATTCTCCCACCATCTCCCGAAGGGTAGGGCTAAAAGATAACATTTGGACTGTGAAGTACCTTAGGTTGCCTTTATATACCAGCAGTTAGGAATGTTACTCTTGTCCATAACATAACACAATACATTTTCTTTTAAGTACAGAAAAACGTAAATGAAAACAGGAAGGTGGAAATGAGTTTTCTGCATCTTGATTTTCCTGGCTTTTCTTTCAACCTTTCAGTCAATTACTCCCACCTTCAATAGCACTTTGTTCTTATTTCTTAATTACCTTGACTTGTCTCTTCACTGTTATTGTCATTTCCATATTTCTACTGCCTGAACAAGCCAGGTGTGGCATTTAGCTCTCTGTTCAATATTTCTGTTAACTCGTGTGATCAAGTGACTGAACAAATAAAAGAATGAGCACTTCACCACTGCTTCCTCTGACTCAATCTCTGACTACTTGTTTCCTTTGCTCTTATCTGTTGCATGTATTCTTACTGCTCACTCAGCTGGTAGCTACTTCTATTATGTACATCCCAAGCACTGTATTCAGCATTGCTTAGATACCTAATTTCTCTTTATTGGTTAATCTTGTTAATCTTTCTTCTTTTTAATGAAAGACCAGTTACACCAACTTTGTTATAGCTTCATCATTTGGTAAAGCTTTTTTGCTGCTCCTGGTAACTAAATTACTGTTTTTTGAGAAGCTACAGCTTCCAATTGATAAACAACAGACCCTAAACTGACCAAGTAATAGCTCTGATCAGTCCATTCTTTTTGAGCATGCCCTGACACAACACCTATCTGGCAAATCATATCACCTTAGAACTGGAGCACACACACAATCCTCACAGGGCAGCTCAACATGCTTTAGGCAAGGTTATTAAAACTGAACAGTCCCTTTATTTTACAACTGAATGATCTCTAACAGCTTCTTCCAGAGAACCTAACTGGGATCTCAAATATGAGCAGTGAGGCTAGCTGGAATGCAGGCATGGGAATGGGATAGAGCACCCAGGATAGATCGAAATATTAACATGCAGCTCTCTGGTGTTCTGTTTTCTCACAGCTGAGTGCTTGCTCCTGTGTCTCATTTCAGCACAGTATGCCAATTTTGCTCAGTGGCTGTTCACAACTGTACCTGCCTTCTTCAGAAATAACAAACAAATTTAGTTTCACAGTATTGCTCCTACAGATACCCCCTCTCCTGATTGTGCTGACAGCAAACTGTGTAACCCAGCAAGCAAGGTAAAGAATCCTATTTTAGATATTCGTTTTCCACACCAGGAGTCTGACTGTAGCTGTAATAATTACTCTTCCCTGTATTCTTAAGTTATGTCAAAGTGTGGATTGAAAGGACAATTCTGGCTGATTTCTGTTGTAACAAAGGGATTCAGTCCTCTGGCAAGCTGAAGTTTACTTCAGGTTTTTACATCTGATTCTCAAAAAAGAAGACCACTTCTAGGATGTTGAAGCTTGAACTTATTTAGGTAATTTTAGAAACTCAGGGGTATAGACAGGTGCAACTTCAGAAATTAACACTCAGCTTCTTTAAACTTGAAACAAGTATTCTTCATCTTGTGACCACCTTTGTCACCAGCTCGGCTTCCACTTCAGCAAGGAACAGGCAGGGCACCCTTCAAATCACTCCGTTTCGACCACAAAGTCCCGACCCTCTTCCGGAGGAGGCACTCCTGCTGCAATGAACATGAGTCCCAGCAACACGCACGGACAAGCTCTGTTCACTGAGCACTCTGAGTACACAGGCAGCTGCAGATCCTGACACTTTTATGCCCTTTGATGATCCAAGATTTCCCCCACATCTAGTCACAATGCTAATTCCTGCAGTCATTATCTGTTAATGACTAGAATTTGTCTTTTTAAGTTATCTTCTTTTGCGATCAAATGGATTTGATTTCAATGCATTTCAGGCATTTTATTTGTAGGATGAGACAGAAATGCCTGATTTAATTGTTGGCTTTCCGTGTCTAAACCCCCTTACTTTCATTTCTCATAGGGCATTTATCTCTCCAAGATAACCCACACTCACAATTCTTGTCATCCAGCCTCTCCTAAAGAAAGAGCAAATCTCTCATCCTTCATCCATCTCTAATGTCAAGATGTTCATTTCCAAAGCTGACAAAAAATGGCTCTCAAGAACTCATGTTGTCTCATTTTCATCTTACAATCGCCATCTACTTTCATGTTTCTGTTACTGGTGCTACACAGCTTGCCCTTAGTTTTTTTCCAACTGGGTAGATACAAAATTTAAAAAAAAATCTATATGTTCTCGTAGAATTTCTACTCTAAAGTGGCCTTTTGAAAAGCTACTTGCTTCTTTTCAAACCAGACCACAAACACTGATTTTGCCTTCAACTTAATTTCCTATGGTGTTCTGTACTAGAATAAAAAGCAAAAAATTACTCTAGCTTATTGCAGAGAATTTAGACAAAGGACCAGGAACAGATGATCAGTACAAGTCTGACTTTGGGCATTCTAACTACATATAATGTATTATATATATCAATTATCTTTTCATGGAAAGATAAGAAATATTCTAACAGTAGAAAAATACATACCTCATTAGCAAAGCAGCCTTTGCCACCATGCTACATTATCCTAAATTTATGAAGTTTGATATATAATGGCAACTGAAGATTCATACTACTAAATCCTTTATAAAAATTTTGGACCTGTTTTATAACTTGACAAGTGCAGTAGATATATAGAAAATGATGCTTCCTCTCCATCACTTACTGATGTTTGCACCATCATAGCTCTCTGGTCTCTCATTTTCCGTACAATATCCAGTGGATAAACAGGTTGGTTCCTTTCAATTAAGCACATGGCTGTTTCCATAGTGACCAACACACCAGTGCGACCGATTCCTGCGCTGTGAAACACAACAGGAAAATAGTCTATAAAATTAGGTTTTTGCAATACACCAAATTCATACCACAGTATTAATAGTAGGACAGCCTTGGAAATTACAGGAAAACCCTAGTAAAATTCAAAGAGAGTGGGAAGTTTATTTTTAACAGCAACTTCAGTAATATTTTATAGTAATTACTAAAAAGAAAATATTTTAAAATATAAATAAAACTAAAACCTTACCTAAAGTAGATGCATTTTTAAGCAATTAAACTGCTCAAACTGTACAGGTTTGATATTTTTGTCTTAAAAAATGTAAGATCTACTTGACTGCTTTTATGACACACACACTTGAAGAGCATGAAAAGAATTTTAGCAGTACCATTCAAAATGAGATTACAACAGTGGTAGAGGATAAAAATCAGAAAAAAAACTAAATTGCAGATTATCAGATCTGTGATAATTATGTGACTAAGCCCTTTCACCAAAAGGTTGCAGGAGAAAGGGAGACAAAGTAAACTCATCCTCTAGATATAACATCAATGTTTCCATCATCAGCAGTAAATGCTCGTATTGCACAGTTTAACACTTTCATCCCATTCAAGGATCTATAATCAGAGTTTTAAAACACAAGTACCTGCAGTGAACAAGAACTGGCTCATTCTTTACTCTCTTTGGTCTCATACAGGTCACAAACTCCAAGAAGTCCATGGAGTCATCAGGAACGCCATGATCAGGCCAAGCTACGTACTGGAGATGGGTGACAGTGTGCTGTTGTTCTGTCTAAAATACAGTAAAGTTTTTTTAAAAATGGCCAGCTATATGACTCCTGTATTAATGTTTACTAGATACAAGTAATATTTTTCACACCAAGTGTTTTCTACACCATCTACCAATAAGAGGTAGATGGTGTAGAAAACGTTTGTGATTTTAAAATTTGTTGTGAAGTATGGACACATAATTCATGGAAAGAATTCATAAGGCATATAATTTTCTAAATAAATGAGGTATCAAGTTTAACTTCTGTGATGTAAACATTTTAATTATTTTGATTTACTGACTGTTGACCTATTATACTTTGACATCATTGATTCACCTGAGGTAAAATGCTATAAGACATAAGCATAAAAGTACTACATAATAGTTTAGAACTGGTTGGAAGAAACAACTGAGAATAGCAGAACTACTGAGAACAATACCAATGTAACAGGGATTCTGGGCTATGTAAGCTATTCTAAATATGTCTGTGCACAGTTACAGATTCAGGTATAACAAGGGTCCCTGTACCACTTGCTAAATCTGGTTTCTGTTAGAAAAATATATACATATTCATTCATACATATATACTTATTGTACATATATGAATGACATCTGTATGATCCAAAGGAGAATACTTTTCTGTATGGAAGTAATATAATTACATAAAAGATTCTGTTGTACAAACAGTTCTTTTTTTGAATTATAGGTAAAAACCCTGCAGTTTTACAGAAGTTCTTTCAGTTTAGCTTTTTGCAAACTTTGATTATGAAATCACTCAATCATCTCTGCATTCAGATTGAGCTGAACTGATATGTTACAGATGTAACTAATGGTTAGGGTGGGAAGGAAGAGACCTAAGCGGCGCGTGAGCTCTGAAGCATCATGCAGCGAAGATGTCAATCTTTACAAACTGAGACAAGTCTTCATGTTTATTTATTCCTTCCACATATTTTGCAATAGTTAAGCTGTTACCTGTGTTTAATTTATGTTCATTATCAGACTTAATACTTGGCACCCTTCTGAAATAAAACTCTCCTTTATGACTGGATTGGTCTATAAAAGCTAGCCTTTCCCTAGTGGTCCACACAGTAATGTTTTTGTGATGCTTTTCTGACTTTTAAAGGTTTTCCCCCTTTCCTCTTCTGCTCACAACTGCTGAAATATAGGACCAGTTTTAAATGTCTTCAGCTGCTTGTTTTCCTCTCCCACTTGAGGATGCTCCACTCCCAGGGAACAGGCTAGTAGGACACAAAAGATGGAATAAGTTCTACCTATGTACAAAGTAGAGTCATAGAGAGTACATTTATTCCAGTCAAAGCAATTGCAGAAATTTACAATTGCCCACAGGGACAAAAATAAAAATGACACAGCTCATACTTTGCTTCTTAAAAGCAAAGCCTGAGCAATCAACAATTAAAAGGTACAGAAAAAGGCCCACATGGACAACATAATTTAACATTAATGACCAAGCTCACTGTAATACCAATTACATTGGGATCTACCATCCATGTCATCAAAAGATGCACAATGACCAGGATCTCTGCATGAAAAAGCATGCATGGCTTTTGCTACTCAGCTCTATTGAGTAAGAAAAGTTGACCTTGATCAAATGATTACTGTTCACATTTTTATGAAATGCCACAGATTAAAAAAATATACAAAAATATGTCTAGAAAATGTAATTAAAAAGTCCTCCTTTAAAAATCTGCACTTGCTTAATCAGAGCCTCTTCAAAAGGGAAATGAGATAAAGAAGCAATTACATGTAATAGTTTGAACTGATTCTCTTAAATCAGAGATGTTTGAATTACAGCATCCTGGTGAAACAAAGACTTGATTAATTTGAAAATTATCCAAGACGGAGCATCCAGTTGCTTTCCATGTGTTTCAAGAACTTAAAGCTATACAACATGGATAAGTGCCAGTGGCACACCTGAGAAACACTGACAGTGATCTCTAGAAGTAAAAAGTCATTTTACAAGCTTAGAACAAAGGGAAGAGCTGACTTAATTTTCACTTACCAGTACTTGAGACTCAAAGAGAGTGAGCTGCATTTAGTTAAATAGTTTACAGGTACAAAAAGTACATTACATAAGATTTACTCAGAGTGAGAATACACAAAGAACATGCACTTAGTCCTCACTAAGCTGATGCTTCTGGTATAAGCACCTTCAATTTCTGTTTTGTGCCCTAATCATCCTTAGAGACCTATATTGTTAATTATTCCAGGTATGCCTCAAGCCTCAGTGGAGCCTTTTAACTATTTGTGCTTTAACATGATCAGTTTTGAGTCTTTTGTTGAGCTCTTCTGACATGATTCAAAATGCTGAAACTTAACTATTCTGCCACCTGCTTTCCAAAATACACAAGTATTTTAAAACACTCTGTTTTATTAGCAATTTAAACCCAATGTAAACAGTAAATATATTTGTTTATGTTAGAATTAGTTTTTCCATGTCTAAGTTTTTATCTCTCATGCAGAAAATGTCAAAGCAGTACTCTGATGAAGTCCAGATTTTTATAGCTGTTTTTAGCAGGGTTTTTGGCATTTTTTTTAAACATTATCTTCAAGTCTAGTGAAAGTCAGTTTTTAAATACAGAAAATGTCAGCCAAACAACACCCCACATGGAAATAACTTACATTAAAAGACCATCACAGTTACTAAAATCTAGCACTTCCACATGAAAAAAATGCTAGAATTGTAGTTACTGGTTCCACAGTTAGCGCTACAGTACATGTTCTATTAGCAATTCTTATTTTTAAATACTATTCCTCTCAGATCTTGCTCCTTTTATAAAAGCCTGATAATGGAAAATAAGAGCTAACTTCTCATATTCAAGTTATTAACCAAACCACTATTCTCTGCAACTCAAGTTTAAATCTTTTCCACAATTTTTTCTTTTAGCCCTGAGGTTTTCAATGGCAGTCATCCTAATGACTGATAAAAGTATAATTTTTCTTCATAAAAATCTGGCTTTATTAGTCCTGTTTTATGAGCCTTAGAGAAAGTGAGACAGCAACAGCTGCTTATGGCTTGGTTGCTATTTTTGCTTAACTTGACCTTGTATACCTTGCTGTTCCAAAATTATTTAATGGGGTTTTTCTCACATGTACTGATTTTAATGGAATTAATGTATTTGGTATTTCTCTAAATCAGTTTAAAAATTACGGATTCAAAAAAATTAATCCAAACAACAGACTCCAGTGACACTTCAGGATTATGTAATTTGCCCAGTTTATTGCTGGCCCTTTAGCCAGCATTTAGCTTCTTCATGGTATTGATCCACATTTACTTAGTAAGGAGCTACAGAGGTGTAAGACATCACCAGCTCTTTGTTATTGTGCTTCTTCGCTGTCCTTGTCCTGTGTACTTGTCCCTACCCCTCCTGGGCAAATTCAAGATACCTAAGTGCAGAAGCAGTTGAGCTTCTGCAGTTAGATCCCTTCATTGTGGTTGAGCTAATATCCTAGATTTTGCTCAGAAGCACCTGATCTTTTCCAGCGAGTCTGTCACTGGGGCTGAAACTCCTGACAAAGAATAAGGCTGGTAGTGCTTCAAATGGCTGCTCTAACAGTTGCAATACAGCTGTACTGGCAAGACCTTCAGCCACAAAAGTATCCAATCTTCATCCTTCTGCAGTTTGCAGTCTTGCTTATTATAATCACATCAAAAGGCAAACTTCCTTGTTTCATTCTCCTTAAATGATAGACTCTCCCTGATTAATAAAATATTTGTGTGCTCTTCAGAAAATCAACACACACCACTTAGAATCATAATAGCCATATAGAAAGTAGGAAATTTAAACTTGAAATGTCAACCTTAATTCTTACTTATGTTGAAACCAAATGATTTTGCATTTCAATGTTTCAGTTAATGTCCCTTTTTCCAGAAGTTAAAACATAATCTTCAATAATGAGACCAAAAAGCATCACAAAGTAAAACTACATTAACCCTGAAATGGTGTTTTCATCTTCTAAGCAGGAAAAGGCGTGCTCTTTGCCAGTGAGCTTCACAAACATACCCTGAAAGCTGAGTCTGAACCACCAGGGTTAAAGCCCAGTTTCTAAAGAGTAGATACGCTAGCAAGTGGCATTTGTCATTTCTTGGACAACTGTTCAAATATTATTATGCTCCTGTACACAATTGCCATAACACTTCTCACTTACTTTGTTATTTGGCTCTTTATATTTTGAAACCAGTAAGATTTAATGCCTAACCATACATTGAGGCATTTATCTTAAGGGAAACAACAAAATTTGTTTCAGGCTTCTTACACTATTTTGTCAAAGATCCTAAAGAAAGACTTATGTCAATTTACAAAATAGTGCACTGTGTGATGAGCTCTGAACTCTCACTACATTATTTCTTTCCTTTGGTCTGTTTGTTCTGGTCTCCAGATTGTTCTGAACCTTTTTCTAAAAAACAAAAAGCCTTGAGCAACCCCCAAAACCTCCAAATTTAGTGCTACAGTATAGTTTTCAATCTTGGTCTTGAAAAGAAAAGGCAGAAAATGAAACCGTTCTTCATTCTATGAGATTTAGAAAGGTTACAAATAAATAACTTGAGTGAAAAGGACTAAAACTTTGGGTACATATAGTTTCAAAAACATGAGGCTAATTCTTCTGTGCTGACATGCAGGTTTATCACTTACAGAGTAATTGGCCAAAATACAGAAACAATTATCATGCTGCTCCATGACTGGGCAGCTTCTCATGTCTAGAAACAGAAGTACTGTAAACTGTCTTAACTGAAAAACATTTAAGTACTGACATCTGACATCTCACATGTTTATGACTGCAAAGGAATACTCAATCCCATTAAAGCAAATTTGGATGCACTGTCAAATGAGAGAATGTCAGGTTACAAATGTATGAGACTAAAGGATTGGTTATCTTGCTGTAAAAACATTGATTAAATATTATATTTTAAAACAGATATTGCCTTTTCCTTGCTTACTACTTACTATTACTATTAGCAGTTCTGGAAATGGTAAAACCTACTTAACTATACAGAAGTTTAAAAGACTGACTAAAAATGAGCCTTTGGTCAGTATACAGTGACTTCTTACACATCTTATGATAGCATAGATCCTTAATCTTTTTAAAAAATACCTATGGCCATGGAATTTTGGAAAAGAGGGAGGAAGGGAAGAAGGGAAATGTATAAGAAATGCAGGTCAACTTAGAAACAAAAATCAAGCTTCAACTCCTACAATTCAGGTTGTGGAAAGTCCAGGTGTGACCTGAACATGGATTTCACAACACAAGATAATATGCTGTGTTTTGCCTTCTCTTTCTTTTCTAACTCCCTAGACATTAGCATGCAAATATTAGGAGTTATAGACTATAAGTATTTTTCATAAATTGAACACATTTAAATTGAGATACATATGGACTTTTTAAAAATCTGACTAAAGACAATGAAAAGGAACTGGTGAGAGTCTGCGTCTTCTGTCAAAATAGTTTTATTATGCTTCACTTCTTTATTAGCTGTTCTAGCTGCATGTGCTATTAATCAAGTAACCCATATTTCATCATTGCAAGAGCAGATTACTTAGGAAAAAGTAACTCTCATTATAAAAGAGTAACTCTCATTAAAAAAAGTAACTGTCTCTTAAAAAACAACTCTCTTAACAAATCAAAGTACTTATGAGGAGTCAGTGATTGCAAAACTGTTTAAAGAACCACATTAAACCTCCTTATGATGCTTATTGCACTACCTGTACAGCATAATGTATTATAGAACTTCAAAAAGTGTGTCTTGGAAGAAGCTCTAAAGAAATAATCATACCATGTTGATCCATATAATATACACATATTCTATTTTAAAAAATATGTGTGCCTGTGTGTATAGAGACACACATCCACACCCACAGACATACACATATACATTGCCAAACACACAGTCTTTATCTACTCATCTCTAAATGTATTCATTCAGCTTGTTTGGGGATAATTAAAGGCAAGGAGCATTTACCTCAATGTTTGTAATGACCATTTCTCTGACAACGTAAGCAATTGTGCAGTCTTCAGAGTGGCACCTGACACGGAAGCAGCCATATTCCATCACATCTGGTGGATCAGGCCAATACTGGTGACATTTGGTCTGTAAAGAAAATTAGGCACACATCAAGACTGCCCTCACATTTCCAGCCTTCTTTCTTGTGCTGTGGTTCAGGAAATTCAAGGAGTAGTACAAAATCTGTTTTAGTTTGCTGGTTAGATTTTTTTTTTCTATCCAAACTGAAAAATAACAGGACAAAATAGGTTAAGTTCTCCATAAACTTCTGTTTTAGTGATTTATAATAAATATTCAGGCAAATTGGATGCATGATGCTTTGCAAGAATGATTTCTCAAGGCATAATGTGGGAGAATAAAGATGGATTTATTCTGTCTTAAAAAAAGAAGTGCAGGGGTTAAATCTGAAACTAACTTTCGACCTCTAATAGCAGGTTGCAGCAAAGGCAAAGCCCCAGCTCTCTTGAAAGTGAACAACATAAGGACAAGAGGCAACTGCAAAGAAGCAACAAGGGAAATTCTGACTAGATGTTGGCAAAAAAAATTCCACAAAGCAAGACAAACACAGAAACAAGAAGCTCTATGAGAATGTGGAATCCCCACCTGTAGAAATTATTAAAATTTTGATGCAACACTGCAACCTGCACAAAGTTCAAAGTTGTTTTTGTCTGTAACTTTTAAATTGAAATTGAGTAGCATGAGCTGGAATTTTTGGAAAGTTAAATTTCTTAATTTTACCTTTAATAGAGCTGAATCCAAATTATAACCATTATTCCTGAAAGTTTCATTGCGGTAATTTATCTTAACTACTTTCTCTTTCAAATTTAAGCTAAAATAATGTATTAATTTCTGAAAAAAATGAACATTACTGTGGAGAAAAAAAGCCCTATCATACAAATCTTAACACAATTGGAAACAGCCTGGAATGTTCCTATCAGGGACTAGGAAAACATTTGGCATTTGCCAATGCGGATATTCTTGACAAGAATATACATCTTTTTATATGCCTGAAAGTTCACCTACAAACTGGGCAAATCTAAATAATTTTTGAAAGCAAACAAACTCATAAATGTGTCTGGTGTACAAAGGTAGCAGAAGGATGATTAGAAGCTGTAACAATTGCCTTGAAGTTTCAAACTAACTGTATGAACTCCAGACTATTACTAATCTGTGCTCCTCCTCAATACAAAGAAATGAATACAATACAATCAAAAGATGAAGGGAGAATGTCAGGGGATGTTCAATAACATCTGTTTCCATGAGCAGATACATAATGTGACCGTGGTTGGAACCTGATTGTTGCTTATGTGTATTTCCTTACATCTCAATCTTTATGCTTTATGTTTAAGACCTAAAATACTCACTCCCTTGCTTTCTAAAAACACTGGCTTTTGACTGGGATGCCAGATAAATTTGATAATGTAGGAGAGATCACAGATTAAATACAGATAAAGGCTACAATGAAGGCATACAGGAATCACCACTTTCTCCACCTCTTAAAAAAATTCGACTTTTAAGTTTTCAGCTTCTGAAACTTTAAAACCAATACCTTCCCATTTAATCTAAAAACTTGGTCTTTAAAACTACAAAGGACAAATGAAATCAAAATACATCAGATTTTCACTGTGCTATTCCAAAATTCAATGAGAGACATAATTTTTCTAAGCATAATTAAAATAATTATCAGAGCAATTCTAGGAAGGAACCTGATATATAAATGAAAATAAGCAAGCTAAAGTCTGACCACTAGTAAATATCACAATGGCAGACTCCTTTTTACAGCTAGAGTACAAGGTTTGCTCACCCACTCAATGCTTCCAGACATTTGCTGAATCTTTTGGAGAGAAACTGCCACATGGAGGTCAATACTCAGGGAGAAAAGCAACAGCACCTAGTACCTGTCTGATCAGCACAATAGAGTGAAGGCAGTGATTTCTGTTTGTCAGACATCTGGTTTATTTGCAAAGCAGTATAACAAAAAGCAAATTGAGGACTATCTGCTCTAAGTAATTCAGAAAGCCTGGCCCTCAGAAGAATAATTCAGCCGAGTAAGTTGGCCTCTTTTAGGATTATTTAACCATAAAAATGGAAAAAATTCAAAGGTACAGCACATTTTTCAGCATACAAAGGACCTGGGCACTTACCCGTCCTCGTTCAGTAAGTGTTGTTAGCATGATGATCAGTGATAATTTGTGATCCCAGACTACTTGCCAGAAGTGTGCACACGTGTGTGGAAGAGGCCCCTGAGTAGCAATGTACCGGTTCACAATGCCAGCAGAAGGAATTTCCATCTACAGAGGGAAAGAAAAATCCTGTGTTAAGTTCACTCTCACCACTCAAGCACTTTTTCAACTTTTGCATTTCATTCAAGGACGTTTTGAGGGAAGATGAAGGCAAAAAGCTAAGTAATAAGACAATCAAGATTACAATTTATGTGAAAAAATTTTAAATAATTTAGAACAGATGCAAAGCACAGATTCTATAGTCCTTCATGCTGAACTAGGAGCAGAAGATTAACAGTGAAAATGTACTTGAAAACTTGAAACTGCAAAGCTTTCTAAATTTTCTTTAATATTTAGTAAGGAATGATGGCAGGGTATATACACCAAAGGTATAGCAAAAGATGTTTATTGCCTGATACTAAACACAGGAAATTAATAATTGACTCTGTGTTTTAGGTGCTTAGCTTATCTATCTGACAGAAATATACACATTTTCCCCCTTTTTCCCTGACTCCCAGCCTACACTGGATTGATTAGGGAAATCAAGGCTCTCGTTTATTTTCTGGATCCTTCATAGGTCATATTAGGTCATAAGCATTAGGGGTTCTAGAGGGAATAAAGGCTTAGTTTTATGGAGACAACCTCAGCATTTGAAGCATATGGAAAAATAAAACAATTTTTACTGGTTAAAGACTCTGCACATATCACAATGTATCACTACACGGTAGCACCCACTCTGTATTAGGATGGTCACCTGTTTCACAATAGATGCTATTTTTTATGTTATGAAATTTTACATCTTTCACATTTACAAATCCCCCATTTACAAAATATCCTTATTCCCTAAAAAAGTCAAAATTTTTCTGCTTTAGTAATATAGAAAGTAAGTAAATGCAGATCTCTGTATGACTTACATTCACATAATTTGCATTAATGTAATCTTCATCTCCTTGCAATATTATCCTTGTGGCATCATCTGCACACACAAAAGAAAGAGGGAATAAAATTAGCAATTAAGAGACATACTTCCCCTCTATTAAGTTAAGAAAAAACCCTGAGAACTTGCAGAAACACAAACAGCAGAATATAAACAGAATAAATTACCTTTTAGAAAATAAAATGACCAATTACATGACTTTAATTATATAATGAAATCTTTAACCAGCAAGTTCAATACAGCAGTTTTAAAAAGCAAAATAGGCAGAAACTGTACTTTAGACTCACAAGGTAGAACATCTTTGTATCTATTCTTGTCCATATTCTGAGGTACCTTTGCACATGTAACAGCCAATCCTGGTTTCCTTCTATAAAGTTGCTGCAAAGTAGAATGAAAAATTATAGGATTTTGAGGGATGTGATTATGCTATACACACACTACATTCACACAAAAACACATAGACTGAAAAAAAATCCATATTTTCTTTAATGTTTTTCCTATCTTAACTGACTTATATTTCCTAACTTCAATGTATTACAATTTCTTAACATGTGACTTTGCTTTTGGGCCAACCTCTATGTTGCAGAATTTATCTGGAGTAAATGGACATATGAAATGAGGTATATATAATGTGTTTATAACTAAAATTTTGAAGTTGGTGTAAGGTTAATGGTTGCACTCTATGATCTTGGAGGTCTTTTCAAACCCTAATGATTTTTGCTTCTATGTATATATCAAACAAGACCAAAAAAAAGTACAGAGGGGAAACAACAACAAAACCAAACAAACCCACAAGAACTGTAATTATACAGCTATAGCTTGTGTGTATTAAATATACATGAAAGCATCTTACAACTGAGCTATTAATATGGCTGTGCCAGAGTTTTACATCCTTCACTGAACACTTACCAAAGAGTTCATTGTATATGAACTCACATTTTTAATGAAGATTTTGAATATTGTTACATATAAAAAATGGAATAAAACAAATAGTAGGCTAAAATCCCCTACTTCTGGTTGAGAGAAAAAGAGCAACACACAAAAATATTTATTCTACTTAGATTTGTTGGACCTTAAAACTCTGTATTCAAAGATCACTGCACTTTTCAACTTATACAACATAAACAAGCCATGTGAGAAGAGAACTTCATAATATATGTAATGGAAAAGCTTCTGTCTAAGTCAAGTTCCACTTTACTAGAGCCAGGTTGCAATTTCTGCCTTTTTTAGGAAGATGAGGAAGAATAATTTAAAGTCAAGTAACCATTCTTTGAGCTTCACTGTTGCCTGGCAAACAGACATTTGCTATTGACAGACTTCTTAAATTCTGACTAAATGGAGGAAGACATTCTGAAAAACTTCCTTAATCACAGTCTACTGGCTAATTATTGACTATTTTACGAAAGTGAATGAAGAGTTTCAGTCACCAAAGCTGATGAGGAGACACTGCCATTGCCTCTACTTCTGAAGATCACTAAGCAATGAACTTGAAGCAAGAAGATCACTAAGCTGTACCCTAGTATATAAGATTTCAAAAAGCTTTTGCACTTTTTCTGTAAAATCCCTTTATAAACAGTGCCATAAAAAATTATAAAATATAGGATCAAATATCCTATGAAGTTTACTGCAGGAAACTTGTGCACAAATTTGACAATTAAGAAGGTATTGAAAGGTGAGTTCACATTTTTGAGCTACTGCTTCAATAGCCAGTTGCATTGCATTGCATTGCATCTAGTAGTATGGATTTTGGAAAGCAGTTGTGAACCACTGTCTAGAATTCCTTAAAATTGGGGGAATTTTAATTCTCAGAAATCATAGAAAGAAAGGAAACCTCATAAAAAGAGTGGTTATACAATAAACAATACCACAACTCTTCAGCAGTTACCATTAAATTTTCCAGCTTAAAAAAAAAAAACAGTAAAGGAAAAAAAAATCAAAAGGGGAAGGAAATTTTATTGCTGTTCTACAAGTTTTCAGTGACAGAAGGGGTTACTGCAGAACTCAATGCCAATTTTGTAAATCATAATAAACTAAGGTTTATTCAGAGCTACTACAAAAGTTTGAATCTGTAACAGTAAAGCAACCACAAACATACATACTGCACTCCATTGCCATTAGAGAAGCAGGTGAATTATCCTTTGAAATTTCTTATATTAACATTTAAGGAACTAATTTAATAAAATATGAAATATTTGATTAGCTAGTTTTCAATGGCCTTCCTTGCTAACACATTGAAGAACACAGAAAAGGAAACAAGTACAAGAATGACCTCTGTCAAAATCCCACTACTCTACTCAATTAAACAGGTGCAAAAAAATACTGATTTAGTGAACTTTGGGTACTTGAGCCATAAACATATTAATTTAAATACATTTTTCTCAGCAGATGGTATTTTGTGTAAGACTTAAAACGCATTCTTCTCTATTCTAAGTAGTGAAGTGTGAAACTAATGGGCAAGTCAAACTGTTGCTCTCTTGAGATAAGATTGAACAGGAACATTGAGATTTGCAACTAATTACAACCCCTCCATTAGTCGCTGGTTACAGCTATTGTTCTACACTAACAGCATTCCAGAGTTGACTATTACCTACCTCAAACTGAATAAGGACTGTTCCACTTTCTAACCCTCTTCTTAGCTGCTCCATAGACTCCTCCAGTGTATCACCGCCATATTCAGAACAGACAGGAAGAATAGATTCTGGCAGAGTGAGGGAATCAGCTTCATCTTCGGATATGGGCTCCACAAACTGTTTAACTACTGAAAGATGTGTATGAAGTTATAATCCTTTACATAGAGCAATAATGTGTTTTTAACAGATATAAAAGTTTACCAGCTTGAAATAACAACAGAGTTGGCAAAACCTCAGAAAAGCAAATAGCAACACATTTAATCACATCTCTTTTTGTACTGCATTCCTGTAGAAACTATAAAGAATATAATGTCCCTAAGACCTTTCTGAAAGAAAAACTCCAAATGCCTGTTTATGAAGGCAAAGAACTTGAATTCCTAGCACAAGGAGGTTTTTGCAACCCCTTACCTAATGAACTGCTCAATAGGCTAGTGAAACACAGCATCCACCATGGTAAAAAAAAGGGAGCTAGGGAGCTTTACCTAAAAAAGTGTAGATCATAATCAATGGAATATCTCTACAAGAAACTTCTATCAGTTTGGACCTCCAGCAGCAAAACAAAGGCAAAAATCCCTTCATCACATTCCTTTGCCATCAGAGAAGACACAATTATCTTTTGCAATTTCTTATGCTAACACTGAAGGAACTAATTAAAACTACAAAGAATTATTAGTCCATTTTCTACAACATTACTTGCTATTGAAGAACATGACAAACATTAATGAAGTAATCTGCATAGAAGTTTTGTCCCTATGAAATGTATTGTAGCACCAGACATGTCCTGCTGTGATTACCCTCTGCCGTGATGGGAACAGTTCATACCTGCCAAACTTCAGACAATGGGGAGCTGGTTATGCTCATGCCTATAAAAAATTACTTGTATGGGGCCACAGGTCATCATTACATAAAAGCAGATTTCTCTTATCTGCAAGTTGGAAGGGAACTAGAAAATGAAGGGAAAACTAAATGCTGCATAAAGCCAGTGGAAAACAAAATAAAGAGCCCCTCTATCTTCTTAGAAACAAAGAAGTTTTAAATAAAGTCAGTGTTACAGAAGTACATATCACTTAGGCTGTTTAATTCCCTCCTGTTTCCTAGTAATGCCTAATCCCTTCAGATTTTTATGTCTTCATGCAATCAGAAACTGTGTAATTGTGTGTGCTAATGTCTTACCATAGCTTTTAAGAAAAGCAAATAACCAATTAAGAGTTTGACATCATCTGAAAGCTCTTGGGATCTATAGGTGTTTAAAAATGGAGCAAGCAATGCCAAGCTGGATGAGCTTTCCATTTTTAAACATAAAGGCTTAAGACCCTGCATATAAGATTGTCTCCTCTTTGCAGGCAGCAGTTCTGCAAGCAACCAGCACGAGTTTATCTCAGTATTGTCACAAAATGTCTACTCTAGGAATGAGGTGAAGCATTTTTGACTTGTTTAATCACATAATTGTGCAGGGGAATAGCCCATGAGTTTTTGCGAATCTGCAGTTGGGGGGGGTTTAAAATTATGCTTTCTTTACAAAAGAACCCAACACCCCACATCACCAAAAAAAAACCTTTTCAAGGGACTATTTATTCTCACAGATTTTCAGACCAAAAAATAAGCAGAAATTCTAACTTGCTAGATTCTTTGTTGCAGTGGTAAGAACCTATATAGTTTAAACTACTTGTACTACGAATTCAAATTTAGTGAGAACTACTCTTTGGACAGACCTATTTCAAGTGCACTGAGAACATGTTTCACAAACAGAAGAGGGTACATCACCAAGCATAAGAGCAACAGTTTCAAAAAACATTAGAAGTGAATAAAATTAGCCCAGTTACCTTTCCTCCTGACCAAAAGTGCAAGCTCTCTTGTGTGAGATTCTCTGCTGGCTTTTATGAACATGACCACCTGGTCATGCGTGTGCTCTGAGATATCTCGGCCATTAATTAATACTATCTGATCGCCTTCATTCAGCTTTGGAATGCATTTATCAGCCTGTTTCAAGACCAAAGAAACACATTAATGTCATCACAACCAGTTGTGCAAGCAGGAACTTTTCAGGATATTAAGTACATAAGCAAATGTAAGCAAAGTCTTCACAGTTCTCCGGGCAAAGTTTCATATTCTGTATCACGGGTTCTATCAAAGCTTTCAGCTCTAAAGCTCTCATGCTTCAAAAGCTTCTCCATGACAATAAGGAACAGTTCAAACAACATATTGATAGCATTAAAAGGAAATCACATTAATAAAACAGCCATCGTCAAATTGCTCTCAAAGATCTGTATTTCAAACTCCAAGTGTCAACAACATCTGAATTTCTGGATAAAGTGTTCTGCATACATGACAAAATCCAGTTCACTTTTTATGCAGTGAATACTAAGAAGTCCAAACATGATTTTATGAACATGATTTAAGTAACATGACATTCCCCAGGCATGCACTTTTTAAATTTCTAAGAAATCCACACACATTTAATATCTCTGTTATTTTGCAGAGTCTTTAGATTTAGATTAACTGCTGGACACCAGGGCTCATTTAGCTTTTTTTTCTGCCACGGTTCTCTGTATACTTAGCCCTATGTCCAGCACAAAGCAATTAAAGCTATGGCCAGAATATGATGATGATGATGCTACACAGACGTCTTAGGGACTAGAGCAGCTCTTGCACAAAGGAAGACTCAGAGAGCTGGGAGTATTTAGCCTGGAGAAGGAAAGGCTCAATTATTACAATGATCTTGCAATGTACATAAATACTTAAAGGGAAGACACAGAGAGGATGAAGCCCCACTCTCAGTGGTGCTCAGTGACAGGATCAGGGACAAAAAGCTCAAACTGAAACACAGGAGGCTCCATTCAAGCATCAGGAAACAATTCTACTGCTGTGGTGACTGAGCACTCCAGCAGGCTGGCCAGATATATTGTGGAGTCTCCCACCTCGGAGCCCTCAGAAGCCATCTGGATATGGTCCTGGGCAACTGACTCTAGGTGATTTTTGGGCAGAGGTCATTGGACAGGAGGACCTCCAGGTTCTTTCCAACTTTATGTGTTTTTCTAATATGAATATGCAGGATTATTCAATCTTTGAGTGACAAGTAAGGTAACGATTTTATCATCATTATTATCCTAATCTTTATTTTGTCTAGAAAGTCTCCAGGTACACAAGTGATACGCTTATATAAACACTTAATTTCATTTATTGTATGAATGAGACATAGACCTTTATTGTTTTTATTTTTTTATAGGTGTTCCCTGTATTTTCTTAATAGCCAGCACAGGTTCCCTGAGTTTTATTCATCCAATATCATTAGCCTTACCAAACAACCATTACCAATCCCCTGTAAACAAGATATTACAATTAGATTCAATCCTGATTATGCCCTGCACTGATGGCTCATAGTATATGGATATTACCAACTTGTAAATAAGAGATGGAAAGAAGAAATTATAATGAAAAAAATCAACAAGATGAAAAATGCAGAATAAAAAAATACAGGCAAGAATATGAAGAAAATTAATTGGAAGTCATCTGCATCAGCAAACAAAGTTAAAGAAAAGAAAGCTTAAGACCTGTCTCACTGTCAAAAAACAGATAAAGAAGACAAGAAGGAAGCAAGAGAGAAGAAAGATGCATGCAAGAGGAAAAAAATCCCATGTGGAAAAGCTGATTAAAAATTTAAAGAAGGAATAGTTGCCCCCAACTTTTTCCATAGAAATAAAGAAAAAAAATTATGAAGGATAGGGAAGATTGACAATGATTGACAATTGACAAAGATTGACAATGAAAATGTAAACAGAAAAAGAATGGGAATTAGGAGCAGCCATGATGTTCTTCAACATTGATTTAACTAGGTATTCACAGGTCCCTAAGAACACGCTTGCCATATTTCGTACAATTTACAAAGGCAAGACTAAAGAATGTAACTATGAATGACTGAAAAATTGAATCACTTTTAAATATTATTAAATTATTCTCTCTGAAATATAAATATTTGAAAAGATAGGTGATACAAAGACCATATAAGGTCAGTCTAGGAGAGTCAAAGAATGGTTTCTGAGCTCCTATATTTGCCTATAATTTAGATTTCTTGGCTGTCTTTAGTACAGATGGAGACTAATATCTTTGCTCAAACAAACTTTGTTAATCATGGGATATGCTAATGGATCAGCTCTCTTATTTGAATAATCTGACTATACAAAATATATATCGAAGGAGAATTAATTCCTCCTACGCAAGCATAATTTATAGATTTTTCAGAGTCTGAACTTTTCCAGGCAATTTATTATGTCAAAGGCTCTCTCTCCTATTGATACACCCAATGTGTCATTTTATACTAATTACCTGCTTTTGCTCCAAGGAGCATGCATGGCTTTTTTCCATCAAAAGCTCTATTAAATAAAACCATAATGACCTCTTTAGCACCTGAGAGCATTAATACTGTTTGTGAAAAAAATCTGTATGGAACTTTAATTAAAAAAAAAAAAAAACACTTAAACAAAACAGATGAAATAAATGGTTGTTCCTTCACTAAAATATCCGTCCCCAAAAAATTTGGGTACTCTGTCCTTCACCTTTTTTCCCAGCATACTACATTACTGCTTTATTAAAGGATTTTTTAAAAGAACTTTAGGATGGGTAAAGGAAAATGCTGCCTTATTTTGGGGAGTAGATTTGCTTCCCCTCCTCTACAAAAAACCCCACATCTTTTTGTAGGAAAGTGATAAAAAGGTGACCTACAAACCTGAGAAACAATCTTAGCAAATAATATTACCAAATAGCATCCCTGAAGACAACTTACAGGGTGAATCTAGTGGAAGTTAAAATAGGAGAAATGAAGGTAAGGCATAACTGAGCTAAAATAATATCAAAATGCATTCCACAGACTTAAATTTGAACTTATATCAGCTACATTTCATTAAACAGTAAAGAACAGGTAAAATTTTCTTTATGGAAAACAATATAATCAATGTTAATACTGCTATTCTCTAAAAATAAATGTATTATTTTCATCTTGCTGTAACATGACATGATTTCCCTAACACTGCTACTGAGTATTACATACTGGATATCTGTTTCCAATTTTTTTCGGTCACTCTTGTCCTTGCCTATGAGACCAAAGGGAGGCACTTCAATGAAGCATTTAAAGTTGGAAGTCTAGACCTTTTTCAATCCAAGAGAAAAAAATCCAGATCAATACTTTCCAGAAGACCAGCTGAATCTACCAAAGGAAATGACTGTCTCTGGAGAAATATCTTTCACTCTCTGATTGCAGAATGAACCTGTTTGCCCTATCTAATTTCAGAATGTCAAATCACCATTAGAATATTTGCTAGGTTGACTATGAAATGTCTTAGGAACTGTTTTATTTTCAATTCCTGGATGTAAGTTATAATTATAATTTCCTACCAAATATTTTTTCAAGTAATTATTATAGTTCACAAAGGAGTGCTAGGAACCATGTAGGTCACATCAAAAATCATAAATGTGACCAAAAAAAAAAAACTTCTCAAGCAATCTCTTTCAGCTGGATTAGCATCATGATATTCAGATATCAGCCCTGTGAGTGTTTATCAAATTTCAGAAGAGTCAGAAGATTCAGAGTGCATTGTCTTTTTAGGATTAGGTCAGTAATATTTCCTAACAAGTCTCCACTGAAATTATTTTATGAGAGTTATAAAATATAGTTTGGAAAAAGGCAAGTGAAAAAATTTGATATAACATTTGTCCTCACAAATTTATGTAATAATTATTTAGAAAAAAAGTTTTAAAAGATTTTATGTTCCAATTACTATATTACAATTCAACAGGAGAACTCAACGACTCTGCTGATTCTTATAAACATTTCACCTAGTCTATAAATATTTCCATAAGCAAAACGTCTATGGCAAAATAGGAGCCAAGCAAACAAATGCTCCCTTTTTATGCTCCCTCTCTCCTGCCAAGTACTCTCCTATCCTATAAATAATTTCAGCCCTAAGGATTTCCTCAGCCTATTGTCGCTAGCTTAGTCAATAACAATAGCTTTTTTCCCCAAGTATTTGTCCTGTCCTGACCACACAGAAAATTATTTTAACCACACATCCTTTGTCAAAGAGTTTCACAGGCCTGCTATCTTCTGTGCAAAGAACTACTTCACCAAACATGAATAATCTGACCTTCACAAACTTAATTTAGCAGTCCATATTTCTGCTGGACTTCCTTTGTCACAGTGCTCCTAATCTTGCAGATCCCTACTACATTTCCCTCAAACGAGCTAGTTTTTCTAGGGTGCAGGGGCCCAAATTATTTACTTCTTCAGTAAATGATGTTCCTTTTCCCCAGTTCTTGCCCCTCATCAAGCATTTTCTAGTTCCGGATGCACTTTTTGAGTGGGAGAACACAAAATACTTTCTACTTTTATCTGGTTTGACAAACTCTTCCATATCTTTTAATCTCTGGTTTAAGAAATCACTGGTTAAACCAATCCCTAATGAGACCATTTCTGCTGCTATCTCGTACTGTTACAGGTGTCCAAATTTCTGTCTGTACAGACTTTTGAGAGGTGGAAGGAGTAGCAATGGAGGGGGTTAAAAGCCTCAAGAATTTACTTACAGGTGATCCTGGAGTTATTCTTGATACCAGCAGTGGCATTTTCTGATCTACTCCACCCTAGAGGAATGAGAGGAATGTCAAGTAAATAGTAACCATAAATCTACCATTAAGCATAAGCAGAATTTAAAAGTAATTGCTTCTTTTCTTTTTATATATTTTTTTATGCTGTGTCATCATGGACAGGGTTGGTAAGACTGACTTTTCATTAGTAAATGGGGAATTATGGGGTGGGTTGTGGCGTCCTTAAATGTACCAATTTCCAGTAAACTAGATGGGGTGTCTCTTTCAGGCCATACACTTTAATAGCCATAAATAGATAAAATGGAACTTTTTTTGTAACTCTGTGCTTGAAGTAAGCCTAATTTAACACTTGAACTTCCAAGGCAGACAGTTTTTTTAGATTTTGTGACAAATGTGCAAGGAATCTGGTAGGATCAAAGTTCCAGACAACTGTACTCCTTTAGTCTCTTTACATCACCAATAAATAGCCAAGGTGAAATGACAAAACTCTGCTCTAATTTTGTTATTATGGCAAATTTATAATATTTGGCTTAAAAGGAATTTCAGTGAAGGAATGTAAAACATTTACTATAGTCAATTATCAATACTAATTTAAATTTTCTTCACAAAATTAATTTTCAAATTTTCCACATGATTTCTAATGGGTATAATTAAACTGAAGAGCACAAACTATTTAAATTGTTTTATAATACAGAGGTCCAATTTTCCAAAAGTCAATACCTTAAATTAGGCTTTCGAGTTCATATTTCACCAGCCAAATAGGCAGTGTGCCTTGGATATGTGCCATGCCCATAATATATGCAACTAAAAACCAGAGAACTATTGGATGCTTGTTTCTGGAAGTGTTGCTTTAGCACTTAAGGATTAGGCTGCCACTACTAAAAACTCTCAGTCCATAGGACATTCCTGTAAAACAGACTGCTTTCTCCAAATCATTATACTAAAAAAATTTTTTAAAAATGAAGTAAAAACATCTTATTCATAAAGCATTTAAAAATAATTAAAAGAGAAATGGTTTACCTTTAGATTAAATCCAAACTTCCCTTCTTCATCTGGTATGATACGCACCAAAAGTAAATCTCCCTCTATTAGGTCATTCTGCAATATATAGAAAAAGAAAGAAAATGTTCTAATTTTTAGAAGAAAATATCAGCAAATTAGAAAACAGCGCAACCAAATTTAGAAGTGCTAAACAAAAATGCTCTATGTAAATCCACCTTTGATATAGGAAGAGGATATGGTTGTAGAATATACCTATGGTAGTAACCTTTTATATAGTAAAAATAACAACGCACATCTCAGCAAACATTTTCTGGTTGCTCTGTCCTAACATTATTACTCTCATCTTAGCTTTCCTTCCCAACTGATAAATCCTACTAAAGTTCCAGCCTGTTGTCATTAAAAGCTTAGATGCAACATATGAATAGAAATTATTCTACTCCAGGAACTATGAAGTGACCGTTTTTCCCTTGACTTTTCTCCTTTAATTAGGTGTATTTTTATGCAACAGATCCACAATAAAACGCAGAATTAAAAAGTGTCAGCAGCTAATGAACATGGTGGAAATTATAAAACTCATTTTAGTTAGATGTTTTAATTAATTGTAAGTGCCCACTTTTAGCCAGAACCCCTATGGAACAGGCTGGGGAAGAATGATCCACTACCATAATGTTAGCAAGGAGCAGCTGCTCTCCAGCCAGGTCAGAACTCAAAAGGATGATATTTAGCCATCCTTAAGAGATGCCTGGGATAAAGCAGAGCTGTGCCTGCTTTTCAGACAGATAGCAACTTGAGTTAGCTGATCTTTTTTTCCCCTCAGAAGAAACAAGGTTTAATCATGTAAGGATTTCTATTCCACTAGGAACTTTCCCTGAAGCTTCTAGAATTCTGGACACTTTGGAAACCAATGTACGTGGTAAGCTTGTCTATCACACAGCCTTGGATAAATGAGTATTTAGCAACACAAGATCTACTCTCATTACTGCATAAAACATGCCCATCCTGGAAGACAGACACCACTTTGTGCATTCTCAAACCCCAGCTCTAAGTCACATTCACTATTAGGTCTGGCTTTAGGAGCACCCAAGTGCACATACCTTATCGCAGTAGTACTGACTGGAATCTTCCATCGAGCTGCTTTTTGTAAGGTCATCATATGTTTCTAGGAACTGCTTATCCACCCCTTCCAATGGGTAAGAGCCAGAAATGTTGCCAACTCCATTGGGAGACCGAGCCAAGGCTTTAGGTGAGAGATGGGTCAGAGAGCTCCGTGTTGGACTGTTTCCCAATACATTCCTTTATTTTAAAAAGATAAATATTATAAAGGTATTATAAATATTAAAATATTTAAAAAGAGCAAGTTCTAAGAGTTAAAAGATTTAACACCGCTTTTTAGTGGAAGTGCAGGGAAACAGGATTGGAGCGTGATCTAAGCCTATCATTTGATCAGTGGACATCCAGAAAAATGGACAAAAATTCTGGAATAGCAAAATAATTTTAAGCAAAATATTTGGATGCAGTGAAAGGCACTGTTGCAGTGGTACAAGAATTCCAGTAACAAATGGAGAGGGCTGAACTGCAAGGGAAAGACATTTCAGTTGCAAATTCTATCCATTAAAAACCTTTTGCTGTGATTCCACTCTCATTCCTGAAAAGCACTTTTTTTTTAAAGATTCCTCCCTCTTACAAGTGCAATTTCAACCTTATCCCTGTGGGAGAAGGCAGTTTGCAGAAAAGCCAGGGTAAATTGTCAGAGAAGCAGGAAATGAAGTGACAATGAAAGGTTTAATGGCAGTTAAAGTATTGTCCTATTAAGGCAGTGATAGCCACACAAAAGGACTCAGAACTAACTTAGGGTACAGATCTGGCATTCAAGAACTTTTAACATTCAATGATAACAAAAGTCAGTAACTAAAACCCTCAAGTCTGGGAACTGGCTGATTTTCCTGATGGTTCTCCAGGAGTTCCCATTCATTTAGCTACATTCCTCTTATGAAAAGGATGACATGCAGACCTCTCGTACAACTAACCCCCTTCTTTAATTGGACCAAACTCATGGATGCCATATAAACTAACAGCTCCATCCTTATAAATACTACCTAATGTGAAAATATCTGCCTTAGGGAAAGCTCAAGGTATAGCAACATCGCATTTTGACAGTGTTAAAGTGGCGGAAGTACATGTCTTGCCAAGTAAACTTTGGCATTAAACTTTCTAAATTCAAACAAATTTGAATATTTCTGCTGTGGTATTTGCTCATATATGTGAGCTTTTTTGAACCATTTCCAGCAGCCATTTCAAGCTGTCAATGAAGAAGTAATTCTACACTCCAAGGAGTGTAGCTTTTGACATACAAAACTTGTATTGCAGCGAACTTCGACATTACAGACACTTGTTTTTCAGCCTGTGATAATCTGATCACAACAAACATAAATGTCCTGGAAGATGATATCAAGGAAATGTATTCTTGCCATAATACCTCTGACTTTCAGTTAGACTATGAGTACTTGGCAATGGCAATGAGGTATTTCATGCAACATTTGCAGTATTTTCAGTTACTACAGAAAGTGGCACTTTCTGAATGTATTCAAAGTTTCAGGACGCTTTGAAGTAGTGAACTATAATTACACTGTCAAAATTCTAGTTTTATCTGGTAGCTTCCAAGACTTTTCATGATTCTGATGAAATCAATGTTAAGCAAGGAGGAACACTGTGCATGTAAATGTAAATCTATGTTTTCAGAACACAGTCCAAAAAAACATTTCACTTACAAGCTGAAATTACAGCCCATATAATGATTTTTCAATGTAGAAAAGAAATTGAATAATACCAGAAGAATATTATTTCAGTCAATGTCATCTGGCACTATATAAAGAGTCACCACATAAAATTACCAGTGGATTTTTGCATCATTAAACTTTTTTAAGTTTCCAACCAACTTTTTTTGTTAATACTGATGAGAGATCTATTACAACTTAAAACTCTTCAAATCCTGATCCCAAAATTTACTTTTTTCACAAATCTTTACAGTCTTCATTGATTTATACATTTATTTGTGTCTTTTAATCATACAAAACCACTACTTTGAGAAGTCAGTTGAAATTATATATTTCATTGTTTATCTTAAATAGATAAGAGAAAGCATAAAGAAAACTCACTTTGGTGATTCTTGTTCAGATGACCTGGTAAAAAACCACAAACATAAAACCAACATTAAATGAACATAAGTTAAATCTTCAAGAAAACAAGAACTGAATTCCAATTAAAAAAAAAAAAAAAAAGCCTGCATAAAAGCCAAAAGGTGTGCTCATAATAAATTAAAGAATACTTAACCTGATGGTGAAAGTCTGAATCACATAACTAGGGAGTTTATGAGACACTCAGCAAAAATCTCAGGGCAGCTCTGATCACTCACTTCTGCTTTTGGTACAAACCCAATACAGGCAGCACACATCTGCTACTGCAAACTATGCAGGAGTTTACACAGGCAATTATTTAGCCAAACACACTACATCATTTTAGAAAGTTTTAGGTGTGGATTACAATGACTACAGATGTCACCGACAGCATTTTATAAAAGTCAAAGTATGGCAAGATCTTTATGTTTATGTAGCCAGAAATGAGCACAGGTGGCTTCAGAAGCTTGACATTTCCAATGCTTATTCTCATGAAGTGAGAGCAGGGAAGGTGTTGACAGAAAACTTTGAGACAAAGTATAATGAAAGTAGAAGTGGTTATAGCAATGAGGACAATCTAGAATGGAAAAGAAATCAAAATTTGCCGCACACAGCATTTTCCAATGCATTCAATTAACTTCAAGAAATATCCCCTGAAACAGCAAGCTAAATAATATGACATAAATTAAAACAATAGCAGTGCTATTAAGACAAATTTTAAAGTAAAAGTTACCAAAAAACATGCTTACAAAGCAAAGTTTAAGGCAGATGGAATAATTTTACAGATTCATTTAAGGAGTGACCAAAAACCCTGGAGTGGTATATATCTGCGGTGGAAAAAATATGTGAAGTAGTTCAGTTTGAAAGCAGACTTGCTGAATTACCAAGTTATATTAAGCCATTCACAGTATACAGTTAAATTTTCAACTCGTGCTCTCTAAATCATCCTTAATACTAAGAATTACATACTACATTTCACTAAAATGTCAGTAAAAATGGCACCAGTATCTGACTAGTTAAGATTCCTTGTATGTAATTAGACAATTTGAAGAAATTCTTCTTTGAGATGCAGAGATAGTAAACCTTGATCCCTGAGGAATTTTGGAGGTTTGAGTTCTGTGTACTTTTAATACTTTTAAAACATTAAGCTTCTTCACTTTTTATTGTAGTCATATCAAACTTCTGACCCCACTGACATTCATCCCCATTCACCTACTAATATCTCTGGTTCTGTTTGCCCACAATCCCCAGAGAATTTTTACCCTCCAAGTGTAAGCAGCTCCTATGGGAATGCAAACTCACCTGCTGCCTGACCAGCCCACATCTAAATAGGACAAACACTGAATTTGTGAACTCCTCAGTGAGAGGACAATGTCATCTTAAAGCTTTGGGATTTTTTTCCTGCCTAGTCACTGACTTTCACCAATCTTGAGAAACTTTGCATGTTCAAAAACTCATCTCCTACATTACATTTGATTGCATTGTCCAAATATTCTCAAGTGGAAACAGAGGCAGAGGGGCTGTGCAATGACATAAGCCTTATTTCCTTAGGAAGTGACACTAAAAATAAAGAAACATTGAATTTATTTTCATTAAGCTAATGGATTTCCTTGTAAGACAAAGAACAATGAATCTGTACATCTTTTGCCACAGGAGATCTGCAGCTCTATTACCAAATTCTGTTCAGAATCAAAATTGCCCTGAGTTAACCCTTTTAAGATTCTTTATCAAAAACTTACATAGAAATGTGTTGAAAATCAATACAATGACCTGGTTTTAATATATTATCTCAAATCTATCTTCCCAATAGAAAGAGACAGTTTGAGAAAGAAAAAAAACAACTTGGGCTTTCATTCATAGACCTTCTATAAACTTACAGTAAATTTTTCATTATCTCTACCTTTGGAGACTTGCTTGAATGTGGGATATAAATTCTTAGTTCTATTTGATGGAGACTTATTTGCTAAATTATTGCACTTTAATTCAAACACATTAGCTCTAAAAGATTAACTGAAAATTCTGTAACCTTTTAAATTGGGAAGAAACGTGGCCAAATATTTGACTGAGAAAAGCGACCAAATTCACTGTCTGAAAGAATTCATCAGAGACAGTGCAGATGTGTCTTCCTAAAGTCCTCAGTAGGTCAGCATGCTAGAGCTGCAAAATTTTGCACCCCAACACAGTTAAATAGTTTTTCTAGCATTTAATTACTCAACAATATGACAAAATACCTTAAACATTAATAACTAGGTGATTTTTTCAGCTACACAGTGTTTCACTAAGCCATCTTCCTCATTTCACAACATACAAGGACTGTATTTTAAGTTAGTGAAAGACAACACTCACCAGACCAGCCATTCAACTTTTTCATCAAGGAAGAGAGCCCTTCCTTGCAAGGAGATTAAGCTTTCCATTGGTGCAGCAAGCAAGCAAATGCTTCAAAATTTCATGTAATTTCTCTTCCTCACTTCACAATATAACTATATTCATGCCATTTCAATCTTGCATTTAGTATGGATTGATCTATTGACAATTACTTTTAAATATAGGTCTTTGCCCTGAAAAGTCTAACTCTCCTCTTCTATCAAAAGGATAGAATGGAAAGGTTTTAAGGAAAGACCCCTCCTCCTCATTTTGGTGTGACCTACCAGGGAATTCTGCTATTTTGAGAACCAAGGATGACAAACTACAGCAGAATAAAACCCCGAGAGAAAAGGGTCAACTGAAACAATAGCACTGTAGCAAAACTCCCCCTTTACAAACAACTGAAGGAAACATCTGTAGGTTTTGCCCTTGTGCTGCTCTTGAAGTTCTTAAAGCTTCTTTCATTGTAACACCTGCAGGGCTGGGGAAAGTGAGTATGCCAGCACTTCCATTATCACAGGGTTTTTTACTCATAAGGAAAATAAGTGGAAGGTACTTGCAGGAACACCTTTCTGCTGCCTTTTAAAGGAATTTATACACAGAATATTCAGCATTTCTATGAAGAGAATGACTGTGTAAGGTGTCACAAGTTTTTTGTACTGTATAATTAAGAGAACCAGTACAGAAAACTTGAGGACTTCATGGCACACACAAGTGATTTCCTATAAATTCCAGTCATTCACATTTGTAAGCTGCTACCATCACCTTAAAAGGGATACTTTATTACTCTGCATTGTCTCTAATGACTGTACCCAGTTTACTGGCTTGCCAAGAAAGTTTCATGTGTTTTATACACAGCAACTGCTCAGATTGCTGCAAGGTTTGCCTTATTGCAGATTTTCAATTCAATTTGGAGATTTTGCATTTAGATGCAAAATTATTGCATTTTGAACTTGTGAGGAAAGTGTAGTTCATTCGAATAAGGATATATTGAAAAAGCAAAGTTTGCATATAAGCAAAATATATACATGCACTATTTTCATGAATATTTGGGTGGAAAAGCACAAAAAAGTCTATTGGTTAGTGGCATTATAACTCTCATTTGAAAGTAATTGAAACATTCCCAGCTCCAGTGTCTAGTATTAGGCTATCTGCCTTGAGGAAGGCTGAAGTACACAAACAAGGACAATAGAATTTTGTAAAATGCAATAGATTTTGTAGAAACAAAGAAATTATCATATCTGTGTAAGATTAAGTACTAAGGATAAATAACTGTTTAAAATATAGAAATATGAGGTGGGGGTCACTTATTTGCAATTTCCTACCCAAAAAGTAGCTATGGGAACTCAGCTGGATAAATCTGAAGAGTACTTTTATCAACAGTAAATCTTTAAAAATTTTCCTCTCATGAAAAATAATACTTTAGTTAAACTAATGGGTTCCCATAGTACATTCACCAAAGCTCACCATGCAGCCACAGTTATTGTCTACCAAATGCTAAGCTAAAAGAATTGAACAAATGAAGCATCCGTTTAGGAAATCTATTTTCAGTGCAATACCTTCACCAGATGATGCATCACGCTCACACTAGGAACGTATGTGCACTTCCAGAAATTCATAGCACAGTGCAAGTGAATTTCCGTTTTGTATATTAGTTCATCATTTCATTTCCTTCCCCTCCAACTCTGGAGCTGCACACATTATTCCATCTGTATCACTAGCAAAAGACAGTTTTACAATGTAAATTGAAAGATGCTTATAGCTTTGTAAGCATTTCAGACAAAAGTTTTTGAAGAGATATATTGCATTTATAACAAGAAGAATTATAGACTCAAAATAATTTATGGTGGAAGGGAACCTGAGAGGTCATGTAAACTCTTATTCAAAGAATAGACATCAAAGCTAGATGAGGGTATTTGAGTCCTTGCCATGTTGTGTTTTGAGATTTTCCAAAGATGGAAATAACTCAACCTTTTTGCTGATGTACAAAAAGGCTTGAATAATCAAATGTGATTTCCCACCCCCCCCACCACATTATCTTTTGAGCATCTCCCTAGCTATAACTTGCGTTGGCCTCATGTTTTTGCTTGGCATCTCCAAGAAGAGTTGGCTCTATATTCTTGATAATCTTCTTTTGGCAGAGCAAGGTAACAATGCGACCAACCCCTCCTCAGCTCCCCCAGCCTTCTGGTTCTCATGCATCATACGTTTGCACCTGTGAATAACTTGCCAGATTTATCTCATCAATCAATGTATGACTCTAAATATACAATCTATACCATCTCACCTGTCAGGAAGCTTTTCTTGCTGACTGTTACTATACCTTATCACTTAGAAATATGTTATTCATAATCTTCTTTCTGGTTAGACAGAAAATTTCACTAATCTTTTCTGTTAGGCCAGCAAACCTACTCTAAAAAAGTTCCAAAACACTTGCTCCTACACAATCTGCTGTTCCAAATCAAACAGACATGTTTGGTTTATTTAATTACAAGGTGAACAGGAGAAACTGAATACAAATCAGATAACAAGACCCTCCTCCACACAGCTTATCAGGTTATTTTTCCAAGCCAATAAGCCAGTTATTTTTTCTCTTTAGCACCTTGTATAATTCCACAAAACCACTGTGCTGGTTTTATCTGAGGTAATTTTCTTCACAGTGTCCAGTATAGGGCCCTGTTTTGGATTTGTGCTGAATTGTGGTTTGGATTTGTGCAGGGCTGATAATACAGAGATATTTTTGTTATTGCTGAGCAGAGCATAAACAGAGCCAAGGCCTTTGCTCCTTTTCATACTGCCATGCTGGTGAGGAAGTTTTGGGCGCTTGGGAGGTTGGCAGGAGACACAGCCAGGACAGGTAACTCCAAATGACCAAAGGGATATTCCAGATCATATGACATCATGCTTAACATATAAAGTGAGGGGAAGAAGTAGGAAGGAGGAGAATTTGAAGCAATGGAGTTTGTCTTTCCAAGTTACTGTTGTATCAGGGAGCCTGATCTCCCAGAGATGGCTGAACAACTGCCTGCCGATAGGAAGCAGAGAATTAATTCCTGGTTTTGTTTTGCTTCTGTGTGTGGCTTTTGTTTTCCCTCTTTAACTGTCTTATCTCAGCCCATGGGTTTTCTAGCTTTTACAATTCTGATTCTCTCTCCCTGATTCCAATCGTGGGGAAATGAGTCAGTGGCTTTGTGTGCTTGGCTGCAGGCTGGGGTTAAACCAATGCAAATTTATATATTCTTCCTGAACAAGTACCCTCCCCATTCAGAGAAGTGCATTCAAAAACAGGAAGAAAGGCATTAAGAGGGTAAACAACAGCCATACACTCCAAACTATTTCATGTATAAAATAAAAAAACCAATTTAAAAACATTTTAAAAAGCAGAAGCCATTAAACCCGAACTTATAAGATCAAAAATAAGCTCTTCCCCTCATATAGGGGAAACAACTCCTGTACAGGTAACATGACTAAGATTATCCTGAACTGCCAAAATAAATTACTACTTGTTTCAGTAATCCTTTGCATGCAACACCTTCTTTTCTTAAAGAAACCCAAGTTTACTAACATTCAGTTAAGGGACAGGTGCAGGTGCTGGCCACAACACGGGTCTTCTCATAAAGCCAGATGAAAATCTGAAGTCCATGAACAGAGAAGAATAAAGTATACTACTTTTTCATACTGAATGGTAGAAAACCATGCAGCTTCCTACAGCTGGGTTCTTGAAGGTTCAGAGCATTAAACAACACAGTGGTTTTCAGTTTTCATTTCTCATCATTTATTTGTTTTCATTTCTCATTGCCTAATGAAGGGTGAACATCTGTATCACATCTCTTGTACCCAAAGATGCTTGAGAAAAAGGAAAGGAAAAATGAAAACAAGAAAAAATAAAGTCCAAAGATCCTTAAATAGTATTTGGTTACATTGGCTTTAAGTTTTCATGGCAGACCTTGGCATTTCAAGTTCACCAAGTGTTTAAAAAGTGTATTAATGCAACATTTAAAATTACATTTTTAATTTACACCGAACTCCTTAACATAAAGACATCAGTGAAATCGTTATAGCAGCTTAAATTTTCACTTATTTACTTGAGAGTAAAGGGCAGGCTACTTTATTTTAAGGGGTTTTTTTTTTTTTTTTTGCTTCTTCTAAGAGTTCAAGTATGAAGAGAATCCTAAACATATTAAGTTGCATTCTAATTTTTTTTTTTAAAGCTACCAATGCCAAGAATCAGACTTTGCACTGGGGATGGCCAGTGCAGCCTCTCAGGAGAAAACCCAATACCTGACAAAAGATCAAGCATGTCAAAGTACATGATTCCAAAACAACTCATCTACTGCCCCAGTTAAAACCAAATTTGATTTTAGAAGGTTACTGCATAAATCAAGGATGTTTTGGAATTTCCCAACCTGATATTGAAACAATGCCACATACTTCAGTATGACTATTTTATTTTTCCTGTACCTTTTCCCCTTAAGTGACACAGTAGCATACAGATCAGAATGGTGTCAGGGAAGGCAAATCAGCAAGGATGACTTGTTCCTCTACATCTGTGAGTCTCTCCTTATTCCAAATTTGGAAACTGTAGTGGTACCTTTATCAAGACAGACTGCAACAGTGGTAATCTTCAAGCATTATACCAGGCTAGACAAAGCAAAAATTGCAGTAAAAAAGAATTCCCTGGACAACTCCATCACTCTGCCTTTAAAAATAACCAGCTGAGGGGGTTAAACTTGTTCAATGTGTGGCAAAAGCCTAGGGGAAACATCCATATTTAATACTGAAGATATGCAAGGTAAACTTTTTATCTTACAAAACACATTTAGCTGATAGGGTAGAATTTCATCCATCAATACAGCATTCATGGAAAGAAAGATTTTAGGACACAAACATTCTTAATTTCACTTTCCATCTTTCAACAAAGGAAGTGAAGTAATAACTGCTGTAAGACTGCAAAAAAAAAAAAATTGAATGTGGACTAACAAACTTCAGTGTAGAGAAAAAGTGGGGTTTTTTAATGGCTACTATTTTACCTCAATTTTTAAAAAGAAATTATTAATTACTATTTTACTTCACAAAAATCTAACAGTCAATATAACAGAGGATAATTTATTTCATTCTTTTTCCAAAACAGACAAATTGAATTTTATTACTCAGATTTATGCAGGCATTTTTTCACTTACCTGCAGAATATTAAATATTATAAACACACCCAAAAAAACTGATAATGCATTTGGGATAAGATGTAAGGAAAAAAGCAATGGTTTATATGTGGTAGTAACAGTAAAAATCTCCACAGTAAGTGATATTACTGTGATTCAGCACAGTCACTAGGGCTCAGAAAATAAATGAATGTGCTATTTTCAAATTTAGAACATCCTTTTTTTCATTGTCTGAGAAAAGGCATGAAGGCAGGAATTTCCATTCCATTCTCAGTAGGTATAAGATAACTGAAATAGGAAGGAAAGAAAAAACTATAGGGGAAGAAAAGAAAAAGGAAAATAAAAGAAGTCCTACAATGTACTAGCTGACAAGACACAATTTGCCAGTCACAAAACACAGCATGGCAACATAATTTTCTACCCTCCTCTTCTTATGTCTGCCTCTCAGTATTTTAACTCAGAAAAAACTTCTAAGAGTGTATCATCTGCAAACTTTAAAACACAGCAAAACACAGTTTCCTATCTATGACTATTCACAACATCTAAAGGCCTAACTTTTATGTATCATCATGGCTACTACTGCCATTAGTACTAATAAATAGTACTAAGGTTCAGTTGTCTTCCAGTCAGAAATATAGAAAAGTGAAATGACCAACTCAAAATACTTAATATATTCAAAAGAGTGACAAAATCCAAATAAATATACATGCCAATTATTCCTTTCGTTAATTGAAAACTCTCTGCTGTAATGTAGCAATAATATTATTACAGAATTTAAAGCTATATTTAGTACCTGTGCACTGTCACAGAGGCAGGTGAGTCCTATCAGCTTCCATTAAGACATTGCTTCTCAAAAGACACCTTGCCTTAAAGACACTAGGCATCACTAAAAACCATTTTTCTTTTGCAATGCTACAAAATGCTACATGCATTTTAATACATAGCATTCTCCCCAGCCCCAAGTTTTAAAGTAGCTGTTTTCTTTTTGAGACTTAAAATTACTGACTTCATACATTATTTCTGAAGCTAATATTGTGACAATCTGAAGTTATTCATTGAGAAATGAGTGTAGCCATATATATAATGTAATACATGAACAAGCAAATAATCAGAGAGCACAAAGACAGGTGCTTCAACTCCCGGCACCAAGCCTAGCAGCTGTTAAGGCACTGCAGAGGAGAAAAAAAGTAGGTCCTCAAGGAATACAGCCTAAAAGCAGACACTGCCTTTAGACAAGCCTCTGAAGAAGAAAAAGATGGATGACCACCAGCATTATGATGTTCTTGTGTATACTCAAATGCAATACCTTTTTCAACTGACAAGGCTGAGCTGATGATGTGGAACACGAGGGAACTCTCAAAAGAGTTCACTACAACCTTCTCCCCAAAAGAGAGAATTTCTGACAGGTAGGAAAGGGTTGCAAAAACTACTAGGAAACAGGATATAACAGATTTGAACAGACATGCCTTAGTACTTCTTCTAATTTTATTAAGAGCTCAACTACTGTGTATTGTTCAGGGATGAAGGGTTGGTATGCTTTTGACTTGTCATTTTGCATCATGGCATTTGCAGTATAGCAATTAGTCAAAATAAACTTATGCAAACAGAACTGTTTGAACTCGTTGTAGCATTACAACTGACTGTGACTATACTGATTCACACTACAGCTCTTTCAGTTTTTTTGTTTGGTGCTTTTAAAAAAATCAAAATATAGGTAATGGATTTTTTCCAGAAGTCCTTACCTCCTCTGTGGACTACGGTTCTGAGAGAACTCTGAATCACTGTCCTTTGATGTTGGAGAGCCCTTATATGTGTAAAAAACATCCTCCGTTTCAGTAATATAACTAATCTCGTTTGTAAGGTTATCTACAGATGAGTGTCGTGGTTTGCGGATTTCGTGACGTAGTCTAGGACTCCGCCTTAAAAATAGAGAATACAAACACAAGCAGGAAGATTAGAATATTTCATGAAACTTTATAAAAGAAAAATTTCTATCCTATTGCAGTTATGATCTCAATTTTCATACCAGGCCTACAAGTCTCACTTCAAATTATCAATTTTTAGGCATTCTGTATGGTATACTAGGCAATCATATACCGCTAGGTTCAGTACACTGAACTGATCTGTGTTTCTCCCTCTGTAAAATGCAATTTATATTATTATGTTTTAATCATAGGATAATTCTGGTTGGAAAGGACTCATGAGGGTCACCTAGTCCAATCTTCTGCTCAAAGCAGGGTCAACTAAGGCCAGAGTAGGCTTGCTTAAGGCTTTTTTCACTCATATCTCAAAAAATCTGAAGGATGGAGACCACAAAACTTCCCCAGGCAACGACTGTCATGAGGTGAAGTAGTTTTCCCATTATAACATGACAAAACCTCGTTTGTTTCAACATATACTTGTTGCCCCATTCTCTCACTATGCAATAGTGAAAAACCCAGCCTAATCCTGTAGCTGGCCTCCTCCTAAGTAATTCTGGGTTGTTATTAGGCATTGGGGCAACCCCTGCTTCTCCAGGTTGAACATGTGCCACTATGTCAGCCTCTCCTCATAGGGTAGGTGATCCAATCTCCTGACTTCCTTGGAGCCAATGGTCTTTTCCTGAGCTTTGCTTCGCTGAGATTGTGTCTGTTTTATATTTGCAGCCAAAAAGGACTGCAGCATTCTAATAAAATCTAGAGAATGTTGGGCCGAAAGGGGCTACCACTTCCACTGAACTACTATCTACAACTCTATCAATTCTGCCAGGTTGGACTTGTTTGCTGTCAGGGCATACCAGATGGCTCATGTACCACTTCTGCCTATAAAGATTACTAGGTTGTTTTCCAGAAATCTGCACTGCAGACAATACTTTTACACTGGTTCTTATTTCCCAGGACGCTATGTTTGTTTTTGTTGAATTTCACACATTTCCTATTGGCCTATTTCTCCAGATTATCGAGATCACTTTGGAGAGCAGCCCTGTCCTCAGGCTTACACACTCATCCCCCAGTTTGGTGCCATCTGCCAACTTTATGATCAAGCATACCATTGCCGCATCATAAAGAGGTTAAGCAGGACAGGTCTCAAGAGAGACCCCTGCAGTCATCTACTTTTTACTGTTATCCAGGTAGATTGTGACCCTTTAATAACTCCCCTCTTAGTCCAGTCATTCAATCATTTTAACAGTTTTTTTTTTTTTTTAAACCAGCCTGTTGCCCACCCATCCAGAAACATAGTATCTTAACCTGGGCAAAATATTTTGGCAGACAGCATGAAAGCATTACTAAAGTTGAGGTGACACCCAGACACCCATCCTTCTGTTGTCATATATATTCTCAGAATAAAAATGTTTAAATATATATGTACACACTACATAATTATTCTGCTAAAGTACAAACAATTAGAAACAGTAGGAGGCTAGGTGTGGAAAAGGCTGAAAATGGATTCACCAATTGGGGGTAACAGGAGGTGATCGAGAAGGAAGGCTTTTGGTCTCTAGGTGCTCAACTGATAAGGATCGTCTCATAGATGGGTTCCAAACCATCCCACCTATCACCTTTCTGCAGTACTGGTTGTTTACAGACCTGAAAAGATATAACACAGCTATATGTGAGTTATTTTGCATAGAAACTCAAATAAAATAAAATAGGCTTATGAAAGTCAACTTCATAATTTAAAGCGTCCCCCTGTGCCTGCCCCTCCTTACTTATGCATTTACACTCTCACAGAGACATTTGCTATCCCCTCATTAGTGACAAGATTGTCACAATCACCTGCTACATTGCTTATCACAAGCCTGGGTAAAAATAACTTTTTCTGAGAATTATTTTTAACCCAATTGTGTTTAAGAAGACAGAGGGGAAAACAGGAAATTCTGTATGTCCTCCTGGCACTGAACTGAATGCCTGACAAAACACAGTTCAGATACGGGTAATATGTTCAACAGATTCCCTGTTAATACTCACAGTGGGGTAACAAAATTCAGCAAGAGCTTCACTGAGCACAGGACAACTTTACCCATCTACCTGCTGCCTCATCAATTAAGAGATAAACCAGACAATATTCTATTGTGGAGGGGAGCCACCTTTGAGTGATGTATTCCTTATAGAGATAAACCATTAAAAAAAAAATCTGATATGAAAATAGGATCTCCAGGTCTGGACTGCTTCTTTTGACAAGAATCTAAGAAAAGGGCTGCAACAGAATAACAACCACAGCTAAGAAAGCAGTAAAAGTATCTGAATAGTGAAAATACACAGCATGAAGAAAATCTTTAAGTAGACTGAAATTGAGATAAATTAACTCTTATGCATCACTTGATACAGCATTCCACAAGTCAAGCTGAGAGATAAGATGCTCACCCTTAAGTTTACAGGCCCATGATTTCTCATAGAAGAAACAATTTATTAGTTACAGAGAAAACACCTGTGGCTCATAAAGCCCTTAACTGTACATAATGGGCAGCTGGGCTAGCAGGCTATGTAAGGATCTTGCTACAGAGTTGAAAAGTCTCAATTTTACATAGTGTTAAAAAATAAAAAAATAAATTAAATAAAAATGTTACTAAAACTCTGGGTATTATGCGAAAATCAAACCTTAAGTATGCTTTGCATTGTACTACTTTTTGCTAATATTAGTAAAAGAAAAAGCAACCCATAATTTTTTTTCATATATACTGAAATATTTCATATATCCTGTTCATGATTTTAATGGAAATCAATTCCTTCATGTTCTAAATGTACTTTAAAAGCTTCTCCAAGTATAGAAAACAGAGGAAAATCTTAGTATGAAGCATCTATATATTATAATCAGCTACCCATGTATGTTTCCATGCTTACTAAATAAAGTCCATCAACTCAGGAGAAACTTTTGGCTATACTACTCATTTTATTTTTCTGAATACAATGACAAGGTATCGGCTACTCATCTTCTTCAGAAACAGATGTCTTTCAATGAATCCTTACATAGCTGGAGCAGAGGGAAACAATGGAAAAAGATGATGCATTATAAAAAATGCATTGTGAAGAACTCCACATTAATAAGCTTTTTATTTTTACAAGTGACTGTTGAGGCATTTTCCAACACAGACACCTTGAAGTGCAACATAACTCATGTGATGGAAGCCAGAACCCTAAACCCTAAATCTAATCTTAAACCCCTCATTCTAACCACAAAATCACTTATAGGGTATGTCTCTAGCTATTTCAGTTAAGGCACAGAAGATAAAAAATTTGAATTCAAATAGCTGCCCTTCAAATGTCAAATATCAGCATATTTCTCAGCAAACATTCTGGGAGGCAGCCAAAGCGTTTCTGTAATGGGCTGTACTATCTGGAAATGATGCTTCCTTTCCTCCTATCTATTACCGAGGCTATCCTTGGTGAAAAATACAGATACGTTTTTTATCTTTTCAACAAGGAATGAGAATGTGTCTAGGAGAGGTTATTCTGCATTCATTCCAGAATTTACTTCTCAGAATCTGGGAGATGTGATTCAGTCTGCTCCTTGAACAAGGCTTACAGGTGGTTTATGCAACTCAGCAGCCTAATTTACATGGAATGCCTCTAGTAACTTAAGCTAAGAGAATCAAGAAGGGCACAAGCGTGTGCAAATAAGAAATTGTACTCAAGTACTGCAACTATCTGAAATGATGCAATAAATGCTAGGGTATCTGCCTCAAATAAGTGTAGAAGAACACAGAACAAGAAAGCCACAAATTCCATAGGAAAATCTGTGATACTTAAGATGGTAAAACCTGAATGTGGCACCTTTCAAAGCTGATGGAAGCGGCATAAAAAGAATTCTTGAATGTGAGTTATTCTTAATATCTCCAGGACTGCACATTGTGGTCAGTAGAGCTTTTGTGCACACATTTGGGTTTGTGTTTTGGTTTGTCTGTGTTTGTTTGATTTATACAATGCAAAAATTTGTATCCTTTCATAAGGGAGAATGTAGAATCTCTTTTTTGGTTGTGGAACTTCCACATGAGTTCAGAGCCATCCTTGAAAAGGAACATGGAAAATCTTACAACATTCCACAGTCACAAACAAGTCAGAAGGTAAAAACTTTCAATATGTAAACTATGACCTCAGAAAAGACCTTTTCACAATTTTTCTTAACTCCTTTGAGAAAATAATTTGCTGAGTTCATAGGAACTACTCAAAGCTTTTCAAAATTACTGTTGCTTCTTATGTACTTAAGCAGTCTTTCATAGCAATGGTTGCTGAGTTACTTCTTCCTCATGTAGACCCCAAAATTCATGTTTACATCTGGTATATAAATATAATAAAATTATATTTTTACTGCTGGTATAAATAAGGCCAAAGAAGTTATCCTAAGCTGATGGAAGGCATCTCCATAAATGATTCTCCCCTTGGAGATTCCTTGGAAGTCTAAGGAAGCAATTCAGTAGAGACAGTGCCTCAGAGCATTTATATCACTTGAAAATAATTACTTCTTAGTAATTCAGATCAACAATGAGAACTGCCTTGTATGCTACAGACTATTAAGAAATTGTAACAGAAGATTTGTCAAAAATAAAACGTTTGGTAAAAAATGAAATTATACTAAACTGGTACCCTTTGGAACTCATACTGTTTTCTTTCTTAACATTACAAAAGCTGTGCAATGCTTGTGTGCATTTAGCTGTCCTATAGAAGGATCAGGGTTTTCAATCTCTTTTCAAATTTGAAAGAAATACAGGACTCCAGGACCTTTATTTCCAGGACAATCCAACAAACTTTATGTCACCTCAACACCTCCACTACAGGAAAACAAGGTCATAACAGTCCATAAATGAGTTAATTCTAAAAAGAGGGATTTTTAAAATGTTAGAAAATTAGAATACTGTTTGTACAACTACATTTTTTCCCATCTTCTAGAAACCAGACCATCCAGCTGTGATCTAGTACTAGGTGAAAACATGGAATTATACTCCAGCAGAAAGCATAACATTTTATCAGAATTCCTACACTGGACAGCCCTCAGGGGTTAATTGCTTCATTTACAAGCAATACCAGTGCACTTGGTATTAATTTCTGCAGTATCAGAGTGTGAAAAGCTAGAAAGACACCAAAGTCTGAGAAGCCATTTGAATGAAGTATGCTGATATCATTCAGAAGTTGAAGCTTATCCAAATAGAAGACAGAAAATTAGTCTGACAAATTACATGTAAAGTTACACTCTCAAGAGAACACACTACAAAAAACTCACAAAAACACACTACCCATGAACAAAAAGAAAACAATAAAATACTTCTCCAAAAATCATGAGAACAAGGAGGTTTCTAGAGAGTCTACAGATCATCAAAGGGTCAAAGAACCTCCCCAGAATCTCACATCCAGAGAAGATAATGACACAAGACTTTCTTTTTCATTCACTATTAATATGATACATTTTTAAAATATTTCATTACAGAATGTTTTTGGAGGGTGAGGCAGGTGGATTGGGATAGGATGAAGACACAAGGTGTGACACCTTTGTAGCTGCATTGCTGATAAATGCAACAAGAGAACAAATCAACATAATGCACGAAATCACTGTGAGTGATACTTAACAAAAAAATGTAAAAGCCCCTAAAATAAAAGAGCAGAGCAAAACCTCCCACTTCAAGAATCACACAGGATGGCCAAAATAGAGGCCAACTGCAAAGAAATGGAGAAGAACATTACGATGTCATGTGACTGGGCAATAAACTGGCAGCTTAACTTTAATGACAATAGTTACTGCATATGGGGAGGAATAATCCCAGCATCATACACAAAAATCACAGGCTCTAAAGAATTGCTTCTTGGTAACTAGGTCTTAGACAATTACTAGGAAACTACCAGCTCTGTAACTGGAAGAATCCAATGATGCAAATAAAAGATTAGAAGTGTCACAACATGGATATCTTGAATACCTGAATGGGAAAAAGTTTTTCATCTTTATGTCAGTAATAAGTGGTTGGTGTGATGCACTCCAGAAATTGCCCTAACATATTAAACAGAATGTGTACATGACACTAATGGCTAAACATTTCAAAACAAATCTGTTCTGCAAATTCTCTTACCGGATCATTAGCTACATGACATTTTTCCTTTCCAGTGTTTTTATACTTCAGACTGAAGCAACAAGTTGAAAAAATAGCAGCAAAACTTATATCCAAACACCTTTTGAGGCAATTATAAGAAAAGTTCTACTGTAAGGAGATCCCATTGCAGAAAGTGAAACCACAACCATATAACTTGTCAAATGATTCATATATAGACTGGAACAAAGGTATGGACAGGACTGAACTCTGCCACTCCAACTTGAGCTACTTCTGACACAAATCCTCCCATTCCCATCATAGAGCAAAATGTGCTTTCACACAATACTTACTTTGCTGGATTTCTAGAACCCAGAGTCCAATAATGTGATAATATCTTTTTTTCATGAGGTAGTGACTTCTTTCCCTGAAAAAATGTGTGATGCTCTACACAAGATTTCCAAAGATTTTTGCATGCTCTGTAATTTAACATGTTGAAGGCAACAATATGTTCTCTGGATTCATTCTGTAACAGTAGGGAACACCATGTTTCAACATATACAAGTAGATGAAACAATAAACAAGGTCATAAAAAACCAATAGAATTATTTTAAGCTTAAACATGTAAAATACATTGTGGCAAACAAACAAACAAAAAATCAGCATATAATAGATTTTGAGCTGGAGACGGCCAAAATACCTCTGTGACTATTTGAAAATCCAAACTGCAAAATGTGCACTTTATAAGTTCATGAAATCTTAATGAAATATTTAAGTTTAGAGTGGTAAGGATTTTGCATATATGAGTACCATGTTATACCTTTAAATATATTTGCAGGTTTCCAGTCAGATTTTGACCTCTTAAGACAAACAAAATTCCTTAAAACCTTTCAATAAGGGTGAAATTTCAAAAGAAAGAAACCCCCTCATTCTTTGAATTCATACTCTTCATGTAAGGCTTCAATTCAATAGTATTCTTTCAAGTGCAATAGTATGCAAATAGTATATTTCTTGATAGTCTTTCAGAAGAAACTGAAGATTTTAACAGTGATCTTTCTTTGGGGAAAGAAAATAGTTGTGATGGGACTGGAGCTGCTGCTACTGCTGTTGAAATCCACTCCTCCTTGGATGATAATGTGAGGCCACAATGAGGTGGTTCAGAAGGCAGCAGAATATAAAACTTGTGCGCAAACTCTTACAAGTAACTTCAGTGCCAAAGTGCCAGTGAAACATGAGTGCCAACACAATTATGCCACCAATGTTTATCCCAAGGGTTTTGTACAAGAGAAAGCTTTGGTTAGTTAATCTAATTATTGATACAAAGAAAGTGGAGCGAGAGCAAAGCAAAGAGTAGAAATAAAGGTAACATGAGACCTGAGTCAATTGCCAGCATAGCTCCGCACTTCAGTGAAAAAACAAGTTTTCATCACTCATCTTTCCTAGCTCCTCTAAATTATGACTGATTTTGACATCTCAACATATAATTAGACAGGCAACTTTTTGCTTGTTCACAGCAACAATCCTGTTGGGAAGTAATTACAAACCATTTTGGCTGGTATAGTCAATCTGGTTTTCTTGTGTTCTTTTTATTTCTAGGCAGCATCTTACAAATGACACGTATCTGAGAACAATCCTGCATTTTCAAATCACTTCATGCCTAGTCCAGAGAATCTGTGGCTTCAGACATGCTTTTAAGACAAACAGTGAGACTCTCAAGAGAAAAAAATATTTTCTCTTGATTTAACATAAGGACTGAAAAACATTTAACTGATTACAGTCTTTAAGGAACATTTTCCCTATATCTATTAAAGCATTTTTAAAGTATTTTCTTTTCGAGATGTGAGTTTGCTATTTGAGTCTCTTGCATACTGGAACCAATCTGACAGTTCACCACCATTACTTCTAAGTAGTCACATAAAATAAAGCAGGAAAGCATAGAAAATCTTAACTCAGAATTTCTTGAAATATATAAAGCATACATCACAAAGGTTTAATGACAAATGCTATTTGTGACATACTCCCTGCTGGCTGAATACCACTTGAAGGGTTTTACTACTCCAGCAGACAAATAAAAGGAAGTTTAAGATATTTTTGTTGGCCTGAAACACTGGCTTTTCAATTGCCACAAAAATATTTTATCCAAATATCTCAATTATACTGAAAAGCTATAGTATAAAAATAAGAAACTAAGTTCATGTAATAATCTGGTTTTAAATTTAGGTTTGATAGCAGCAATTAATTTTGCATGTTACAAGTGTGCTTTTCTGTTGTTACAGAACCTTCTTAGCAGCCTTTAAGTGGCCTGAAGGTTTTGATATGGAATTAAGCTAGGAAAAGTATTTTGAGAAGTTTCATAAAAATTCATTGAATTTTTAGACTAACATAACATTTTGTTAATAACAATCTGCCTTACTAATAGGCCACCTTACAAGTTATGCTGTTAAATCTCTGTACTTTTTTAAAGGTGAAGAGAGATCTAGTGGGATTCATGGATTTAATGGCCATCATACTTCTCAACTCAAGTTCTAAAAGAATGGCATTTTAATTATTGAAATGAGGATTAGAGAAATGAGGATTAGAGAAACTTGAGGCCATTAAGGTAAAGGGAACAATCCCACATAACTAAAGTGTTTTGTTAGTTCAGCATATGAAAGAATTTCTGCATCAGTTGTATGCCTACTCCATTAACAGAAAATCTGAAAATATCTACAACATAGAAAGTTAAGATATATTTTAGTATGCAGCAAATGAAGTTGTTTTTAAGCATTAGATAAGCACATTGAAAATAAAATTTCATTTCTGAAAGGTACAAAATGCTGCCTGTAAACAGCATAGTTCCTATTCCTACCTTAAATCCTCCACCCTTCATTAAGCCTATATGTCATGAGCTTCTCTATTATCAAACATTCACTGATTCCTCAGTCTTGCTCCCCAGTCCTCATTTGGCTCTTCCATCAAAGAAATAATGCATACTCCTAACCAAGTAGCTGATCAACAGACGGGAGCAGTGGGAGGGTAAAAGAGAAGGTGAGTAGAAGGGAAGAGTGAGATAAGGTAAGTTGATTTTTCAGAAAAGGCACACAAGGAAAGAAAAATTGAGTAAATGAAATAAGGAGAACAAATCAATGAAACATGGAACATCCCAGGAGACTGCAAATTCATTGCCTTTGAGAACTTTCTATAGACTTTTGTAAAGAATTGATGTATGACATATAAAATATAAAAGAAGTTCTATAGCACTCTCTTCATCTTTAGTCAAACCTTGCCTATGAATATACAGTGTCTGCTGTTTTCCCCACACTCTTCCATCTTCCTTACTTTCAGATTCATGTACCTATTTGCATCTGTCTTTCCAAGCAAAAAAAAACTGATCATTTTGAAGACTGATACCAATGCAGTCATCTGCTCTCACTCACTCCTCAAGCATCCCACTATTCTGGTGAAACCCCCAGGACTCCACTTCCCTCTCTCTCACTGCATGGCACCAGCAAGCTTTTCCAAGCAATACCACTGGAGTACTGCACACTAGATGCCCTAAATTTCAAGCAAAGGGCTGACAAGGATGGATGTATCCACAGATTTAGTGGCACACCTGGTCTGCTTTTCCATGTGAACCGAGAAGGAGTAAAAAGGTCATGCAGCTGGCTTTACTTTTCTTACAGTTCTGTAGCTCTTTGAGCGTGACATTGTGTGCATTACTGTCATCTCCGTAGGTTACGAAACAAAGAACTATGATCACTTAAAAGAAGGTAAGCTAAAGGAATCAAGAGCCTTGAACTGTCATCATTTATCAAATGTTTAATTGAACAAATTAAGATTGCTGCTCTCTTCAAAAGTGACACAGGTCTCCAGAGACAAAATTTCTACTTTTGACAGCAGTCAAGTCTTTAATAATGAACACACATTTTTTACTTTAAGTCCACAGATAATTCTATATTGACATTTTATTCTTCCACTGTGAGTACACTCATTTTCAGAGAATCATAGAATGGTTTGGGTTGGAAGGGATTTAAAATCATCGAGTTCCAAGTCCTGTTTTACTAATCATTCTCAGAGAGTTCTGTTACTCAGAACTCATTTATTCTCACAGACACATTTGGAAACTGCTGTCTGAAAGCCTGTACTTATCCGTATATTTGAAAATACTTAGATTTTAAAATTACTATTTATCAGTAAATTTTTAATCCTCAAGCCCAGGAGAGAAGTTGCTACTTGCAAGTGTTTACACTCACAAGTGAGAAGAATGGTCTATCAAGCACTCATTTCTTCATGCAGTGAAATATGTATGAACAGACTGTGACATGCCTGCATATAAACAACATATTTAGAAACTTACAGGTAGGAAAAAAACCTTAAGATCCTCCTACAGTGTGTAAGGACAGACCCTGTACATGCTGTGTGTGTGTGTGTGTGTGTGTCTGTGTGTGTGTAAGCATTAGTGCAGAAACACTATAGTATGTCTGGATACTAACTTTTTTTAAATGTGAATCGTGAAAAGTAACATGTACATACTTGCACACTCTTCAAATTTCAAAGAGCCCACCAAACTGGGAAAAAAGAAAGACACACAGAAAAGAAAAAAGAAAACATTTTCCTTCTGGGTAAAAAAAAGCCTCCTTAGAAATCTGTGTTCAGCAGACCTTCTAATATATATGGGTCAAGAGGTGGTCTCGTAACACAGTTCCTATAAATTTAATAGCTTGTGTACTACCAGAAAGGGCCTCCATTAACTTCAGGCAGAAGTTAACACTTACCTTTTACTAAATTTTGTCCTCAACTGAATTAAAGTATTTATATATCTGCTGATCACTAGTTTCTGAGAAGATTTTTTTTCTGTCATATTAAATAATCTATGCTCTTTGTAAAAAAGATACCTTATTTCTTTCACATTGTGGCAGCACAATAATAATCAGTAATCAAGATTTCCTCTCCCATTAAGTAGACTAATATTCCAATTGCTCTGTAAAGAGCACAAAGCAACCAAAAGAAACCATCTATTAACAGTTGAAAACTTTTATATTTTTTTAATTAACTATCTTCACATAATTTGCCAAGTCCTAAAGGCCTCCATGTTACACACAGCATGAGGTGAGCTATTCCCCTTTTCAAACTCATGTTTTTCATCTGCAAAGCTCTCCTTTTCTCCAGGAACTTTGCTTTCTTCCTGAGCTCTGAGCCCCATAAGCTGAAGGGACCTCACAAACTCCCCCTAGATGAGGCAAGCAGTTGTTTAGTAGATTCACTGCATTGAGGAACTCTACACAGCAGGGAGAGCATCAAGAGAAGGAGCAGCAGATGCTGATGAGAAAGGAGAAATATGCTATATTAAAAGATATTGGAGGAAGGATGGAGATCTGCATTTACCAGAAGTCTCCAAGGGAGAAGAAACCTCCATGGAAAAGATAGAGTCCAACAGACTCAAAGAGGAGGAATTCAGTGTTGGAAAAGGAACAATAAAAGGGAAAAAGAGAGGGAATAAGCAGACCAGAATAGCAAGACCAAGTTAACAAAACAATTTAAAAGGCATATTACCCCACCAAAGCCTTTTGATCCTTTGTTTGTAGTTAACATTAATTTTATATTGAATGCAACCTTTGCTTGTAGGTTGCATTCAATATAAAATATCTAATATGGTCACTTGAGTTAAAAAAAATTAGAGAACTACTTACATGTTTTTGCCGTTGTTGTATAAAAAATTTTTTCCTTTTAAAGGAAATTTTTAATATGTTCACCCTAAAAGAAAGAAACAGGCCATGAAATATCAAGTAATATTTAGAGTGATAAAACAATGAAAAATAATACTGTGTACAGTGAGCCTGAAAGATTATAGCTGTAAAATATTCAATGAATAATATGCAGCCATCACCTGTGTTGAGTGGCAAATAGATGTCCTCGTTTAATCTTTAAATAGTTCACAGCAGTTCTCTCCCACCAAATCTATTATTGCAGCAAAAAACTTGATGACATCTTCTACACTAAGCTGCACAAATGTTAAATAATGTGTCAACTTTTGTATAACTTTAGAGTCATATGACAACTGTGACTAAAGGAACAAAATGTAAGACCCTAATGACATGATAAAGTTGGTCTTACAACAACTGAAACTTTGCAGAGGTTTTACAGAATTGGTTTCATAATGTGAAAGATATCATGTACTTCTGTTAATCACTAAAAAAATGTCTAGATAAAATCATAATTTTAAAAGGATGAAAACTGTAGGAATGAGTGTTAATATATTTTTCACTTCATTAACATTGCTATGTAATTTATGTGGTAATTTTAGAACTGAACACCTTTTTTTAAATATACAGAGTCTGGATATATATTTTCTAGGGTAAAGGTAACTGGAATCGGTGCTCAAGCAAATTTCATTTTAATTATATGCTTATCAATTTTTCATATAACATACTTATTTTTTTGCATAAACAAACTTCTACCCACCTGCACAACTTCCCACAGCAAAACAAGATTTTTCAAAAATATCTACATTTTCTCTGCAATAGTTCTACTTCAGTAACTGAAAACCTGCATTTTTGGACAAAGAAATCTCCGATCTATAGTCAGATGGAATCTTACGGAGGCCTTAAGGAAACCTATTTTGGGTCAGATCAAATAATATTTTCCTGGAAACAAACCATGAAAGAGTTTTGTAAATTTACTGCTAAACGTCTGACAATATTTTCATTGAACTCATGCTTCACAGGATGTTAGATATCAGGTATGAACTTTGTTGAAATTTCTCTCAGTTTGGCACAATTTTTGCATCACTCTCATCACGTGGGATGGCATAAAAACTCTTTCCCCACTGTTCATGGGAGAGACACCTGAGTTATAGAGGAACATCCTTCATGGATACAGGAGAATATATTTGCCAGTTACTAACAAGAATATTAATGGAATTACCTATCCCTCTCCCTGCACAAGAAGTGGAAAACTGTGTGCCATTGTCAGAAAATGCCTTTCTCCATCAATTACAGAACCACAAAGAAACATGTATTTCAACGCTATTCTTTGACAAGGCAAAGTGGTGTAAAAATTAATGGAAAATTGAAATCATATCCACCTCTCCTGTTAAGCCAACTCTTAAAATACTTGTGCCATTTGACCTGCTACCTGAAACATCAGTGATCTGTGTTGGTCATCTAAAAAGTCTTGATTCTGAACTACATGACAAGTAATATAAATTTTCAGTTGTATTTCCTGAGCTGCAATTCACTGTTATATTAATTCTCTCTTGATTCTAATGATTCTCTGCCTGAACTAGTACCACTCAAGTTTTGTGCTTCTGGTTCTTTCTTACCACATTTCTTGACTTAGACTAAATTTCAACAAACAAGTTTTTGGAGTTATTCCAAAGTTGCCATCATGGTCTGGTCTTACCCCAACACGGAGCCAGCTGAAATGCAGGACACAGAAAACTAACCTTGCACACTAAGTGAAAAACCCTGCAACCAACAACAAAAAGGGAGCCAGCATCCTAAAGTACCAGAACTACCCCAACCGCTCTCCACTACCCTATATTTCTAAAAAAAATCCCAAGAGAAACGAAAAACTACCAAAACCCCATCAAAACCAAAACAACCCCCACAATTCAGTGCATGACCATATAATCACTTTAAGCCAAATCAGGGCATTACTTTGACACTCTTCTAAATAGAATACCCCTCAATTCCATTCATTCTTCTTAAAGTACATCTAAACCTATTTAGTTCAGGCATAAAGAACACATGCTACTCTGACCTTTTTATTTAACAATAACTAAAAGTTATTTGCAACGTTATACCTACAAATGGACTGAAGGTTCACATCTAGAAAAAAATCTAAGAGATTAAGGTGTCAAAGCACTTAGACTTAACAAGTTCTTGAAGATGCCATACCCAAAAATTATATTAATAGAATGCAGTTACTGTTATTATAACTGATGGCTCAGTAGCCCTTTTATCTCACCAATAATCTGTTCCGTGACTATGCAGCATTCACAAGTCATTAAATTTCATGGTTTACTTAAAAAGCATTCACTAGTTGTAGCACATTAAGAATGATGGATCTTTTGGGTCTCATCTTCCTATCATTCACAAGCATCAAAATAGATTTGTCACTCTGTGGGCCATGGAATTGCTAATTTTTAATTAAACTTGCAGTCCTGTCCCAGAACTTAGTACTAACAGCTGGTACTTGTGACTTGAAGCAAAGAAGAAGTTTCTTTACCTGTAAATCCTACACTTTGCCACCAAAAGAAGTTTCTGTTCAATTTGCTATGCAAGATATTTGTTTTCCAAGTTTTAACTAGCAATGTATTATGCATTCTCAAGCAGTTTCTCTGAAGTTTTCAAAGCAGTGAAACTGCATACACAAAATAGCATTTAATACCTAACTTTAGTTGCTGCTGATATAGAGTGTTTGCATGTTTTTGCCATTAATATTTTACTTGCAAAATCATTTGGAAATTACCACAGAACAGTTAAACATTCTTGAGAATAACTCTGCAGAGTGCATAAAATACTGCATTAAATCCAAAGCTATTTTTTAAACCTATCATGACTTGCATTGCCGCTGACTGATCAGTCAGCTCTTTACGTAGGTTGCTTTGATTGAAAAGCATATTTTTGCCAAGGCAGAACTCTCTCACTGCCTCTGTTCCTGAAAACTTTGGGTCCCCTTTGACTACTACCATATGGCATAGTTGTATTGTTGTCATCCACTGCAGAGTATTTTACTTAAAATTTTGGAAAGAGTGCTTTGGTGGTGTTTGCTGCCACCTTGAGTTCTAAGTCATTAATGGGGAAGTTTGCAACAGTCTGTAGGAAAAACGACTTGATACAAATGGTGTTCCGAAAAGAGCCTAAATAAATACTACTTCAGGCATTACAGAAATGTATCCTGCTTTGAGATCTAAAATCAAAGAGAGAATCCATACTACAAATAAATCCCAAGCAACTCTGCTCTGGTGGTTTTCATTGTTTGCTTGTTTTGGTGGGATCAGGAAATGGACAACATTCCTGCACAAAGATGTATTATAAACTCATGCAAGATGCCAGAAATAAAATATCAAAAAGTCAACCCCTGTGTAGGGAGCTTTTGCTTTCAAGATGAAAAGAAATTTTTAGAGAGAGAGAGGGAGAGAGAAAGTACACAAGTAGGAAAGCTTGGAACAACTGCATGAGCTGTTGCTGAAAATATTACTGCCTAAACCTCATATTTTAGAGTGGGAATTATTTGAACTGAAAAACCTGTGGGTTTTATTTCCCTCATTTTTTTCTGTAAATAAGACTAGACTTTTGAGAAAAATCTTGTAGCATCTGTGTTATTCCTCTGTGCTCTTCAGGAGTAAAAGTAGCACAGGAAGTTGTAGATTCCTCCGGGCTAGTGTGCTATAAACTATTTTTCCCTTCCTTGAAAAAAATCATGTAGCCACAGATTTTAAAATGCCATTACTCTGTGATTTTCAGGAACAACTGTTATCAATTCATATCTTACTTAGGTCAACTAAGTTGGCAGAACAAGACTGGCAGAAGACAGAAAATGTGCCTCCAGCTGGCAGTTTTTAAACCTGCAGTGGTTCAAAGAAGCTGAGAGCCTGATGTATGAAAGAGCAGCACTTAAGGCAAAAAGATGAAAGATAAGTCTTTTATGCTTCAATGTGCATTAGAAATGGAAAAATGCAAGTTTTGACTGTGCTGCTACATGAGAGCATTATTACTGACATGCATTTATCCAGGATTATTGCAGTTGAAATGCAACTCACAGCAAAGAAAAAAAATAAATCCAGAGACCATGCAATATATTTTCCCAGAGAATTTAAATCGAAACTGAATTTATTGCTTTTCTATAGGAAATAGCTGTTTGGTTGGGTTCATAAATGAATGGCTGGAATGACACTAATATTTAAAGACTAGAGCTAGCGAGTGGTTTTTTTGGGGTTTTTTTTGTTTTTTGGAATGTATTGGAATGCATTTTTCTGTCATGATTAAGAACACTGTACTATCTTACTGAAAAAGTTATCCGAAAAATTGTTACAAATTCAACAAAGAACTCACGTATAACATGACAAAGCTATAATTTTATCAAGCATTAAAAAAAATTTCATATCTAGTTTAAAAAAGAAAGACTGGAAAAAATTCTTTCTGATCCAATCCAAAAACCCTTAAGGAAGTGCCCAATCTCCATATAATTTCTTATTCAGGTTGTAATTTTTAGTATGGTATAACTAATGAAGCCCAAAAGCACTTTAAAAAAGTTATAGCTTATGTAACTTCTCATGTCATTCACAATAGAGTTCTTGTACACATTATTTCTTTGCAGAGGTTATTTTCTACAGCATAATCATGTATTCTAATGTTTTATGTATCAGAGAAGAATGTGAAGGTCTCTCACCTGCTTGCTAATGTTATATACCCATATTTGATGAGATTTTAAAATTTCAAAATTATATTGTTCTATTTCCTGTAAATCTGAAACTCCAAAAACCTAATTTATATTTATACTCCAAGAAGTGAGTATGTTCTTGCTGAATGCCATGTTAAAAAGTCCAGACTGAGCTTAATTCAGTCTGAGTTAGGGGCTGAATTTTAATAGCAATACTGATTGATTTTGTTTGTTTTTAAAGAGACATATTATTGAGCATTACAGCAGAAAATCTTTAAGACCACAGGGTCCTCCTAATAATGTACTCATACTGGTATGTAAATTAACTTGATCAAGACTTCACACAGTGCAAGGACTTTAAAAATCTTAAAGGTATAAAAGGCTAGGCAAGTTTTCATTTTTATCTAAGCACAAGAAAATACCACAATATTCCATAAAGAACAAATATATGTATTGTAGGCTTCTTTGGAATAAATGTGAAAGCAAATGAAAGATTTAAAAAAACTGGACATATTTATTTACAATACAAGAATTTACCAGGGATAGAAGCTTGTACAGATGAGTTTTCTATATACAGCAATTCCACCAGATGCAATCCCAATCATGAGATCTAGATTATGGAGATCCTAAAAAAGAAAAATACTGTAAGAACACAGATGCAGTTTATGTCATTCAGATTTATCTACTAATACATTTATTTTCAAGCTTTCTATATCTTAATTGCTACACTTGAAGAACAAAATCAATGACATTTTTGAGTTTTGTCCATCTCTTTCCTTTGATGTTATCTATTACACATTCTAAATATTATTCATTCATAAAAGTTGTAATGTTCATCCTACTACCCTGGACGTTCCTTAGGTCTGTATCAAGAGTAAATTTGCAAGTCTAGCCTTATTAATTTCAGGAAAGAAGCTGAAATACTTCCCAAGATTAGTCAGGTAAATGTCACAGAATTTTGGGAACTGAACAAAAATTGCCTGATTATGTGCTGTTTAAAAAAAGAGAGGAAATAATTCCTTACTTTTTCCTAAAAGGTCTTACCAAGAAAGACTGCACAGGAGGTGACCACAATTATGCATATGAGAATATGTTGGAAAAATACATGTGCACATGAATATTTCATACACTAAATGAAATCCATTATTAACTAAACCGAAAGGTATGCATTAGCTTAACACATGCAACTGGGGAAAAAAAAAAAAATCATAATTTTACAATCCTGTCTAGGTACTGAGATACTTAAGAGAAAATACATTCTTCCATAGAAGCAAACATTTGAGTTAAAAAACAAAACAAAACAACAAAAAGGCAGAGAGGAGGATGCTGAATGGTCATTTTGAGCCTAAATCCAGACTGATGTTAAGGAAGTTACAAACCTTGACTTCCCTTTTCTTATGATCAATACATACTAATGTGTTATTACATAGATTTCTAAACAGAGATAAATGTATACATAAATCCACGTAGCAGAATCCATTGTTTAAGATATCAGTTTTGACACAAAAGCAATTTCAGAGTGTTTTTGAAGGACAGCCAATGGTAACAGATTCTCTTAATGCCCTCAGTAGCGCAGTTGCTCCTCTAGATGGTACTCTGGGCTCAATTAATATATGGCTTTCCTCCATGTCCAATCCCAATTTCTTTATATTAATAAGGTACAGAGCATGTAATCTGGCAATACTGTGGAAAGTCTACAATAAATCCTTTAAAAACAGTTGAACAGCCGCGTGATACAGGCCCATGAATGAGGGAAGTCCAACCTAATTTGCAAAGCACAATACAGGAATCCAGACCTGACATCCCAGTATTTTAATACCTGGGAAGAACAAGGTATTCAGGAGATTAACTGCCTACAGTTTAGCTGTTTCTGCCTGATATGGCCAACTTAAAGCAGGGTAGAAAATTGCATTATTAGCACTTTGAGCTTGCTCCAGGTTCCTGTTTTTAAAAATCAATACTATGAAGAAAAAGACTCTAAAAGTAAAACCTTAAAATCTACATGATTAAGTAGAAATAAAGGATTATCTAAAACACTTGATGGGATTAATTAGGCTAAACTACTCTATTTTCTCCAGAAGCTTTGTCAGAACAAACTTCATTCCTTACCCTCCTCTGCACCAGCCCAAACCACTAATCTCCATGTTATTTGTTATTATGAGTTTTCTTGTATTGAGCCTAAGAAACACAAAAATCAAGATGCTGGAATAGCATAAAGAGAGGGTCTCTTATATGAAATATGATATTGATGTACAGTTATTTCTCTTGCAAAACATCATGTTGTTAAATAGCATAAAAAAGAAATAACATGCATATATTTATTTTTAAAAACAGGTAACATGAAGATAATAATAAAAAGGTTGTAAAGAGAAAAAATTATAATGCCAGGCATCTAGCTAGTTAAGTACTGATTAACATTTGATTTAATTTACAATTACCATTTTGATTTTTGTAGATATGGAAATAATATTGATTCAACAAATTTTCTATCTTCAACTCTCTGAGTAAAAATGAAAGATGAGTTGACAGCAAATTAATTATTGAGCAGATGGGATTGTGGTCCTGAGTGAAAAGGAGAGTAGAAATTCAAGATACATCAATATAGTTTTAAGATATTGAATTCACTCTCTTGAGTCTCCCAACACTATCGCATATTTTAATATTTTAGCAGTTCAGTTTTTCATAAAAAAAAAAACCAGAATTGTTTGCAGATGAAAACTGAGCTCAGATTGAAATTGCATGTTTAGTAAGTTGCTAAAAAGAAAGCTCACACTTATGTTAAATATTTAACTTTCTACCATAAAACAAACAAACAAAAAAAATAAGGAAGCTATATATCCATCTGCTCTTTAAGAAACATTATCCAAAAGTATCCCTCTCTCAACCACCAGTACAGGAGCAGCAGCTTCTTTGGGCCATTAGTATAAAAGTCAGGTGTTTCCTGGTTCTTCTGACACACAATCTAAGAGGAACAAGATCATCAGAACCCCCAGAGCTAAAGGCTTTCACAGACACACAGTTTAATTAGCCCCTGCTAAATCTGGTCAAGGCACTGGGTGTGACAGAACTGGAAGGATGATTTAAAAGCAGTACTGAGAGCAGGGAGAATATCAGGAGGCACTGTAAACATCCCTGCCAAAGCAGGGGCAGGACATAGTAGCCTCTGGGAAGAAGCAGCTTGTAAACCTTCACTATAAACTTCTTACAGGCATGTTGGGAGCAAGATCAACCCCGTGTTGGTTGAGAGGTTTGCCTCATGGCATTCAATCCAAACAGGGACTAGCAACTGATGTTTTGGAAAGACAAAACTTCAGAGACAACCAGCTACACCCTAACAACTCCTCTTCAGCTTCAGGTCATTTACAGCTAGAGGATTTCCTGATTTAGAAGCTTCTTTTATGTTTAATGGACTGCAGTGACTGACTGCTCCTGATAGCTATTTCACCTTGGGCATCCATTACATCAGAAGTAAAACTTACAGTTCAACGACAGCCTTCTGGGAAAAGTGCCTTTACTAAAACCTGTCTCTTTTTAGGTAGACTGAAGATCTTGGCTGTTCACGTTCTCCATGCTGTTCACCTGCTACAGAAGGCTTTTCCTTAAAACAATTATGATTGTTATCCTTCTCTGTACTTTCCTTTTTCCATTACCTACTCCGAGATAGGGAAGGGAGAGGAAGAATGAAGCTCAACATTCAAATGGTATCAAAACTCAGTTTGAAAGGTGGCATGATATTTTCTGGTTTGGGTTCCATTTCCTTCCTAGCAGCTTCTAAATGTTTAGATGTCTAGTTCAACTGAGAAACCAGATCACTTCAAATATTTCATCCTTAAAAAACCTGAATTTCGATAAAACTATTATTTTGAATTGAAACAGAAGCAAAATGGTCTGCAGCAAAATTTCATTTAGCTGAAAATGTCTGAATCCAGTCTATTATCACTACTTGACTTGGTACTGGTAAGACCACTACTGACATCCTGCATGCAGTTCAGCAGCCGGCAGCTCAGGAAGGATAATGGAAATTAGAAGAGCTTGCAGAAACAATATCCCATTAATATTAAGAGACTGGTCACATAGCAGAAATCTTAGCACTTATGTTGGCTTATCAAAATACTAGGCTATAATAGAAGTTTAAAGACAAATATCCAATCAAGTTAAGTGCATATAGTGATCTCAAGTGTAACACTAAGAGCTTCTTCAATAAAGTAGAAAGGTGACAGATGACCCAATGAACAGACTATACAAAGTCAGATTTAATAAGATCATTTCCTTTCCTTTCTACTTTTCTCCATTATTAAAAAAAGTGTCTACCTTTTGAGTGCTGTATTTCATGAATATGAATGTAATTACAGTGGCTTCATACAGAAGTACTTTAGGAATTTCTAGAAATCCAATGCAACACGCACTTATTTGTGGTACCAAAAAGAAAAACAAGAAAATATGCTGAAGGAAGCAAATTATTCATTCTATTCCTTCCTCATCATTAAAGAAATTAATGAATTTTTCATTATAACTCTTAGTGTCAGGATTATTAACAAAAGTCACAAAAATGTTAAGAAAACTAGAAGTCATCTTCACCTAGGAAATCAATTATCTGTAGTACACTTCCTTTTTACACGACAAGCCTTACACCAAAACAATTTACTATTGCAAAGAAGCACTAAAGGTAACTTGCACATTAGGATGCAACTAAAAAAGCATATTGGAGATTCACTTAACATCAATAGTGTAGCCAAAAAATTAAATTGCATTGAACAGTGAAATACTATGACATGTCTCTTATCAATGAACACCCTGTAGGCGAAATATTTCAAATACATTTTTAGTGGTCATCTTTCAAGTTGTTAAATACTTCTTAGATTTACCCTGGAATCAGGGAATACAGGAATTTAAACAAAAACAAACAAACAAACAAAAAAACCCCTCTATATTCTTAACACTTAGGAAATTAGTGCTAGAAATTCAGAGAAATTAAACTCTTGAAACACCTGCCAACTAATAGCATTAAACAGAGCATTTCATTTTCTCTTATGCTAAGAAACTCAAAAACCTTTGTAAAATTAGAAACCTAATGTAAAAATATACTGCAGTAATTAAATAGTTTATCTTAAAAATATTTTGTTACACTTTGAGGAGCTCTAGCTTATTTGGTTGAATTTCCAGCATCTGGAAGGTGCTGGAAGGTCATACAGCCTTCCAGAAACCTGGAAGGGTCACATAAATTACTGAAAAATTAACCAGCTCTACTTAAAAATAACACATGAAAAAGTCAGTACTTAAATATTACCTTTTTTTTACTGCTATTAATTAATGTAAAAAAAAGCATATAAATTTACTTTCCAAGGGAAAAATTACAATGTAAACATACTCTACCACTGTGCAATTCCACTCCATAGAATTCAAGTGTTCTTGCTATATTTATATAGCAGGACTCTGCTTCAGATTGCTTGAGGCCACTACAAGAAGGGAAAAAATAATAACTATGAGCCATAGACAAGTCAAAAGTAAAAGATATTATATCATATTTATTCCAAATGCATAAAACCAGAAGAACACTGAAATTAAATGTCTCAGAAAAAAACCTCACATGAAGTAGTGCCATAATTTCTTTACTGGTGAAGGCCCTGCTAAAGTACTCCCAAAAAATTGAGTGAATTACACAAGATTTTATTACGTTAGCCACTCTGGACCAGCTCTTTTTATAAAAATCTTTGCTATCTGTTATGTTCAAAGGGACAAGGAAACAATTCCCCTATAAAATCTGACCTTTTAGTAAGAAGCTGCATCTATAAATATTGTATATTTCCTAGTCTCTTAGAAAGAATTCATGTAGAAGAAAGATAAGAAGCATGAATGCACTAATAATATAAAGGGGAGAGATCAGATTAAAAGTTAAAGTTATGAAACTCACAAAAGAAAAGCCATCTAAGTTTACCTAAAGTCTGTAAGTCCTAAAATATTTTTTTCTCTTGCAGGTAAGACATTGAAATCATAAAAGCATTTGACCTCCTTGTATTCAAGTAAGCTTCTATAGTACAGGTAAAAACAACTATTTGCTAGATAAGCTTCCCAAACAACATGCATAAAATTACATTAATCAAATGGAATTTAGGTACAACCTGCAAAAAGCTGACAGAACATTGAGTTATATTAAGAGCTCCAGCATCTAATACTTCCAATTAATATCCCTCTTTTAAAATGCAAAGCCATCAAAATACAATGCCCTGAAACAGCCACTCTAGGAAATATTACATCATACTGCAGAAAGTTGAAAGCTACCTTGAGCTGGAAAGCAATGGCCAGCATGGCTTGAGGATGGCATAATATCAGGAAAAAAGAAAGCAAAGATGAAGAAAACTGCTGTTTATCACAATCCTGAGCTAAACTGGTTTCTCAGAGCTACATGTACACTGACCATTGTCACCTTGATTCTGAAAAACTTCAGCAGACCCTATATCTTTCACTGTGTCAGAAAATTATAGAAGCAAATAATGTGAAATGGCCATTTTGTTATATGAAAGGATGCTGAATATGTTTGGAAGAGTATATTAGTGTCATTTCAAATAATTTGATCAAGTACTTCGTTCAGAACACTAACAAGATATGCCTGTACATTTTAATTCTCTATTTGTACACTCCATCTACACCAGACCAGTCATGCCTTGGGTCTTGAAGGGCTAACAAGTGTCTCATAGACTTAGGTTTTTTACTCATTGTTGTTACACCCACCTACTCAATTAGAGGTGAAACGAAACCTTCAGGTCCCTAAGCAGATGGTAATTATTCAGTGAGATAAACAGGCAAGAGGAAATTGGTCTCGATGTTCCAATTTTTATAGTTGTTGATACCCAAGGACTAGCTAACTTCATCTGCAATATAAGCATCCTTTTTAGTTTCAAATGCATTCTTCTCTTCTAACTGATGGCTGGATCTAGCAAGCACTGTGAAAACCTTACCAGTTTGGACACTATCTGCATCCTAAGATCTCGGGCTGCTTATGTTACTAAGCAAAACACAGCAGTAAAAACCACATTAGAACCAACTACATACAGAAAAATCCCGCTATGGATTTAGAGATGAACACAGAACGAAAATTTCCGAAGTTATACCAGTTCAATATGACAATAGCTCCTTTCTTAAAAGCTACATACTGTCCACTGAACAGAGTGGCATGGAGTTGTTCAGGGAATACTTCCTCAGATTTTGAAAAGCAACGTAAGACATAGGTAACAAAAGCTTTGCACTGAGTTACAACACGTAACTCAAGACATAACTTGTCTCAAGTCTGTATTTCAGCAATTCAAACCTTTTTCTTTTCCATTGTGGAAGTTTTCCAAAGGATAGACACTAAAGAATGAAAAAAGCATAGATGTTTATAGGGTTGGCTTTGAAACCCACTAATAAAAGAATACCAATTTCAAAGCTATAATAATTTACATATAACCTATATGGTTTACAGCAGTATTTTTTATTCCAGATGAGCAGAAATCTCATTCCAAAGCAACAATGTTCTCTCAAAGGGTAAAAAAGTAAATTCTTCCTTTCCATCTTTCCTTCCCAGCAGCTCTGGTGAACACCAGAACCATTCTTGTCAAGTATGTTCTTGGCACCGATCTAGTCAAATTCATGTCCGAGACACACGAATGCCAAAGGAGTATGCAAGAAATACTGCCAGGATAAACAATAATTTGTCTGCCTCTCCTTGTACTCTAAAGTAAATTGGCCTTAAGAGCTAAGTTTCAAAATACATGTTAAAACAATAAAGAAAAATTTTTTCCAGATCAATTTACTCAGTATATTTATTCAGACGTTCAATTGCCAACATCTGGGTTAATTCCAATACAGAAGTTAAACTTCTCAACCATGAAGGCTTCACACCAAAGACACTCAATGAAAGCATTGATATTACTGAAAGGACACAGAGAAGAAAGGAGTCTTTCCAACAGACACCACCACACCTTAGTCTGGACCAATGCGAACTTCTGATCTTTCCTCTGCAGAACATAACCAGTTTTATATCTCTTTAGTGCTACCCCAGCACTAAATACACAACCAGCCACTCCAAGACTCTTCAGAAACTTCCCTCAGTGGTCTCCAAGGTGACTGCTTCCTAAAGACAAGCAGGCTTATTCATTCGTGTCTAAAAGTTCCCCTCAAAAAACTACTGAGCCTACTGGAAACTGCCAACTAATTTGGAAGGAGTAGAAGCATCAGCAATTGTGTGCCTGAACACAAACTGTTCAGAAAGCAGTCCAGATTAGTGTCTCCAACAGAAAGGACAGTTGGAGTCAAGATTTCAGTGGTTATCTTCTTTTGCCCCATAAATGACAATGCCTGCCCTAGATAGCTAGGGAGCACACGTGAAGTTCAAAACTACTCACGACACCCACTAGGAGTAAAAAAACCAGAGGGAAAAGCAAGAGTATTGAAAGATGAGAAAAAAACAGCTGAGGGACATTAGGAAGACATGAAAATGGAAATATTTCAAAGTATAAATCAAAGAAACTAAGAGAGCGGGGAATTAGCTCTGCTGCAGTTAAGATACAGACAGAGAAAACAAGTCTACAGAGATTTGTATTTTATTTGCTCACAGACAATTTCTTAGATTGGTATATCTGCATTCAGCTTGCAAGTATCTGATCAACACCACTAATTCCAAAGCTGCAGACTTACAAGGGACAAATCAGCAGGGTCAGAAAAAATAATCAGCAGCACACTGACTGGAATAATCTGTTGCAGCCTTTGCATTACACTCAGGAGAGGGGAGTGAAAGCACGAAGTTAATTGAAGTGTTTTATTGTTATGGCATATCTTGGAGTTTTTCCACATATATAGACAAAAAACATCTGTAGAATTTGAAAAATGATCAAATGTCCTTCATGCAGCAAACCCTTCAAAAATCTAGTACAGTGTTCTAGATTGTTGCCTTTAATAATATTTAAGGCTAACTAATCACTTGGAGATTATAACTAGACATTTATTTAAATGTTTCAACAAATTAGCATTGCACTCTGAATATAATTAATCTAGCATCTCTATGATAAACCCAAGTACTTCATTTAACAGAAGCTATAGGAAATACAACTGGCTGTTGTAATGTAACTACTAAGAACTCAAGTCTTCTTTTTGATATCTTTTCTTTTTCTTTAAAAGCTCAAGAGGTAAGAGAGAACAAAAAGTTGACATTACCTGTGTTGCTCATGTAGCGTTTCTACTTTGGTAAGAAAATCTTTGTTCTGCTCCGGTATAAAGTTGTAATTTGAAAGATATCCTGAGCAATGCACTGAAGCATTATAGTCTCCAAGTTGTGCTGTTAAGAAACACATATATACAGTTTTCATAGTTAATTGGATTTTTGTTTAGAAGAAATTCCTTCTCATTAAAACACATACAAATATGGGAAAATGAAGAAATTACCAGTTATTTCCCAACAGACAAGAAGTGTTGAACATTGGGAACTCTATGACCTCAGCGAGGTAAAATTTTTTCAAAATGCACTTAACATAACTATAATCTCAGGCACTGAATGACTCAGTACTTTATTTAGTTACTTATGTAGCCTCACTTTTGCATCACAACCTGTAACAGCACCAGACAGATGTCATGTGCTGTGCTGACACACACGTGCAGCACTGTAACATCAGAGAACACCCAATTACTTCAGTAAGAGATGGCAAATGAAATCAATTTGACACATTTACTCGACTAGAACATATTAGAAGTCTTCAACAAGATCTGTCACTTAAAAAGCATCCACTCTTCACAAATTCAGGTGGAAATCACTCTGCTACCAACTATGGCACTGTCCTAGAAATTCAGCTTGTGAATTACTTAACAGAAAATGTGAAATAACTGCTAATTGACACATAACACTACAAAGCTGCTACAAAAAGTAAATAACTATGACCTGTACTAACCTTCTTTTTCATAAGGAGTATGGAATAGTGATTATGAAGCCTTGAAGTTTCCCAGAAGTTATTAGTATGTTTTGCAAATTAACACAAAAGGAAGTAACTGATAGACTGCAAACAATTCAGCATCAAAATGCAACTAAATCAAAGTTCAAGAGCACACTTTTAGGATATACTATCAATAATATTAAAACTATTTTCCAGAAAATTAAAAAAAAAATATATTTAAATGATTCAAGTTGAGGGGCATGAGAGGCACATCACAAATAACTTATACCTAGTAATTATGTAGGCTCTGTAATGCAGGGGATAACTAATATTTGCCACATATATATATTCAAACTGCATTATTTAAATGGTCCAGAAAATGGAACTACAATGATACAATACAATTCCCAGGGACATGCAGTCAAAAGCTAATATAATTGCACACCTAATTGTCGGCATAAAGAGAAATATTTAAATAAAAAAGGGAATGATGAAGAGAAACTAATTTACTTTAAATGCAGAAAGCCTTGCATACTTAGTTCTTTCTTTTTAAAGGTAGACTAAACTTTAAATTAATTAGCAAACTGCAGGCAAAGGACTAAATATATTCCATGAAAGCTAAATCATATATTTGAACATTACCATAAAATTTATCTGAAGAACAAAAAAACCAAGAAAGCATAAAATCAAACCAAAACAAAAAACCACCAAATTAACCAAGACAGATGATGCAGAAGTATCATAAGAAACTGAAGTGATTTTTAGGAATATCCATATATTGACAAAAGTCTAAGCCTGACAATGCTAAGTCTAAGGCAATAACAATAAAAGTGAAAATTTGAAACTTTTAGAAATAAGTAGTATGCTAATAACAGTTAAAATAAACCCCCCAATTTCACAATTACAGTAGTTGATTGAGGATCCTTTCCTTTTCTAAGCACTAATACAACCCATCTTTTCTATGAAACAATCTACATCTTTAAGGTTTGCTGCAGCCAGCTTGAATTCACATCTTGCCAATGGGAAAAGACCAGATTGCCAGGAATAAGAAACATAGTTTTCTATTTCAATTTTCTTTGCAATAGAAAAAGATATTTTTTACTGAAATTTTACCTTCCCTAAAAGGAACAACTGTTATTCCTTCACACATTATGAGGTAGTCTTCTTTTTAATCTTCTAAGTAGGCTACACTGGGCTTTTTCCCTCTTGCTACTAGCTACCTTAGGCCATGCCAATAAGGGAAGCAATTTAGCTTCTCCAACTCCCTAGCCAGCTGTTACAGTAGAAGAGAAACATCTTGCAAGACTAATGATCTTGTGTAAGATTTAACTATCCAAGTAGGAACAAAAAAGTGAGGACATATCAAGACATCAGCAAGAATAATAACCCATGATGCTTCTATCTCTTTACTGGATTTCTCCAGAAGAGAGAAGAAGGGCAGGGAATATTAAAGACCTATTTCTCACCTGAGTTTCGCCTGACATATTTTCTGCTCTGATCATGAGTCAGCAGATACTCAGTGAAGATAAAGTTAGAGTATAAAAACAATAATATTTTAACCTTTCTCCATTCTAGACCACTGTTGCTCTTTAATTTGTTATAACTGGCAAACAGTTTAGAGCTAAGTGAGACAAAGTGGGATCAATGACGAGTCAAAAAACAAACCCCTGATATTTGAATATCAGAATATTGTATTTTAGAGTTCTAGATCTAATATGAAAAGCTTTAAAGAAAGGAATGTATCGGACCATTAATTTAGAAGGCCATATTCAGTAAAAACAATATATTTTTTAATTTCTAGTAAAAGAAGAGTCCAATAGCCAAGTAGCCATGTTGACATGAAACACTAGTTCTACAAACTTTCAACAAAATAAGAGCTTATAAGTGCTTGAAACACAAGTCTTGAGATCATATATGTTTACGGACTATAGGATCTGTCTATGCCTTACTGAAGCCAAAACAAGCCATATATTCTTCATACTTTTTTCAAAAGTATTTTGTTCAGACATCCTTCAAGGTGCAAGTGACATTGTTCTCCAATTCTACAGACTTTACTTGTAAATAATAAGAAAAAGAATTGCATACAAAGTAATAGCACCAAAACCTATTTCTGCACATGGGCATTTCCAGTAACTTCAGATACAAGAAGAGAAATGTATGAATGGCTCATTGGCTAACCATGATGAGAAATCAGTTATAGAACACATGGGCAAATTTACCCAAAAGATTGCCTACAAGAGCTATTCTTTAGAAACTGGTTAAATATCAACTTTCTATAGGTCTGAGAAGTGTATCTCATCTATAAAACTGCAGTACAGGATTAAAACATAAATCATATGACTGGTCTCCAAATCAGGACAGCAATAATGACTCTTAAAATTCCTGAGATGAGGGTGAAATGTAGTATTAAAGGCTAATGATTAATTTATGATCATATGAACATGGGGGCACAAAAAGAAAATATAGTGAATCTATACAGTTTAATCAGTTTAGAAATTTTAAGTGATTGCTTACTGGCACAAAAAGAACAGAAGAAAGATGAATTTCCCAGCATAAAATGTTTCTCAACAGTAACTAAGAATTATTCAAGTATTAATATGTTTCTGGAATCAGAAAACAATCCACTACAGCAGAATTCAGTTTCAAAGAACCAGCATAAAAAGGTAGACACTTACTAAAGACAGACTAAAAAGGTTCATAACAATGAGCAAAATTACACCATGTTGAAAATGGTTTTCAGAGAGAAATTCCTAAAAGGACCAAAAAACTCTCAGAAGTGAATGCTGCAAGAAGGAAAGGTGTTTTGACAAGTGGAACCTGCATCCAAATGAGGAGCATGAACACTAACCCACTCAGTCCCTATGTAATTGTGATGTCCCTACAGGACAAGTAGAACTAGCTATCATGTGAGTTAAAACTAATTTGTTTTGTAAAAGGAAATAATGCTTCACACTCAAGAGCCCTTACAAAATGTTCAGCCTAGGCATGACTGTAAATAGCTGCTTATGACCACTTACAACAGCTGGCCATTTTGTGGTAAGACAGAATGAGAAATTAGGCATTAATAAAAACAAAGGAACATTTGTAGAGGAAAAATAAAGAAAACTATGCATGCACAATGGTAGTCTCCAAGTTATTTACCACTCCAGAATGAATCATGAGCCAGTCATTGTAATGCCTTTTATTAAAAGAACTAAAAAATAAAAATCAGTAGCTCAAAACCCAGACACAGTTAAACAACAACACAAAACAATAGTCACAAGGAAAAAGAAGAAACAAATTAGAAACTATAAATTATACTGAGTTGCTGTTTCTGCATTTCAAATACAACATGTATTTCAGAAATCATACAGACACAACCAAAAAACTACTAAGAAAAGCAAAGTATAACCCAAAGTACAAGAGTATTCATTTTGAGGATATATTGGGATAAAAGACTTAAAGGAATAGCTACCAATACTCCCAAAACATTGTGAGGCTTTACCAAACTAATGCATCTGATCCTCTGCCATATATGTTGTTTCTCAGCATTCACCACTACTCATTTGAGAATCACAAAGTCATTTGGGTTGGACAAGACCTCTAAGATCATTGAGTCTAACCCTTAACCCAGCACTGACAAGCCCACGCCAAACTATATCCCTCTGTGTCACATCTACACATTTTTAAATAGCTCCTGGGATGATGACTCCACCACTTACCTGGAAAGCCTCTTCCAAAGCCTGACAACCCTTCTGGTAAAGAAATTTTTCCTAATACAGAACCTAAACCTTCCCTGGTGCAACCCAAGGCTGTTACCATGAGTGTAATACCGTATTACATGGAGCTTGACCTTGGGAAATTATTCTTTCCCTCTTAGTTATGTTACACAAAAATATTTAATAGGTTCATCCAACTTAAAGATACAGAAGAATAGTAGTATCAAATCTAAGAGGTACTGCAGAAAGTCAGCTGCTTCAGCTACAGCACTGGCCAGTATCCCAATCTGGGGTTCTCCACTCTGGAGATCGTACCTTGTTTTGAAGTTCTATAGTTCAAAAAATCATTTGTGGGTTAATGGAAGATCATCACATAAACAATACTTGAAGCAATGGTCTCCTGAAGTGGCTTCTAATTGCCTAACACAACTGTAAAATATAATTAAGGAAAACCAGCCCAAAAGAGCTGGAAAGCTGCTATATATAAACAATCAGGACACTCTTAGATTATCGTTGTACAGAGATGCTAGCAAGCTCAGGAGCAGCAATCTAGAATTCAGTGAACCATGTTTTTCAATTAATCTCTCCAAGGTGATTCTTGTATTGGGTGTTTCATCAGCATCACACAGATAACACTGGCACTGCTGATGACAGGTACTGTAAGATATACTAAAAGGTACCTCTGGCTGAACAGCACTGTTGCAGGCTTCAACAGAACAGATGTGACACGCACACAATCCTCAGACTGCCCAACACACCTAGTAAGTAATTTCAAACCTGGAAATTCAGCTCAAAGTTTTCTCTACTAATCCAGTCTGATTTTGATTTTAAGGCACAAGGGTTAAAGATGCCCTAGAAAGAAGCAAGCAGAAACCTGGCTGATCTGTAAGCAAATCTCTCAGCTTATATGAGATGTCCATATGAGCACTATTTCACTTCAAGAAAGCATGGATGGGGAGCAAACACAGAAAAATCCCCAAATGATAACCATGAAAAGAGAGAGTTTTCCATAAACTAGCAAGTCTGAGGGGTCAACCTAATTTTTATAAAGTGAGGCAAAATGAAGGCAAATTAGAAGAGTCAGGCCTCACTCAGGAACTACTGTTGCTGTTCTCTAAGTCTTGCAGCCCACCTCTATCTCTGGGATATCAATCTTCTGGCATTCCCAAAATTCTAACACTCTTATTCCCAGTTCCTGAGAAACTTTCACACTAAGTTCAGCTTTCCTTGACTCCTCATCATGAACAGCCTTCCTTTCCTTAGAAGAAAAAGTCCATTGGAAGCCCTAGAAACCAGTCAACCCCTTTCTGAACAGTTTGGGACTTCTGAAAGTCCCAAAGACAGATAGCAGCGTGCTACAAATGATTCCTGGGTCTCAAAGCAGGGCTGAGAGGAGCAGTACTGCAGGAGACAAGAGCAACTGATGCTCAGGGAAAAAACAAGCTTAGAAGCATTCATAACACCTTTGCTGGTTTTTTTGCTGTTCTCCAGATTCAAGTCCCAAGTCAGCAATGGATTTATTAACATAAGAGCATATTCTCATGAAATATATGGGATTTCTTACATACCAGTAGCTGGGCATTTAAATGCCCTGGAAAAGGCAATTTCCTACATGAAGTGATAGAAAACAAGTGGTGCTAAATCACCATTTAAAAATAAAAAAAAAAGGACTCATCATACTGTATAGGTTTCTATATTTGGTTTTATATGGTACAACATTCCCATTTTACAATAGTAAAAACACACAATTTAAGATTTTTCAGTATGAGTGCATCCTTCCAGCTTCACAATGATGATATTATTCAAAATGCATCTTACAAGTTCTTCTTAAAGAAAAAAATATTTCAAACTCCACTGACTGTTTTGTCACAAAGCACATTCCTGATAATACACTAAGAACTTATTCTTGAAGGGTCTGAACTATGTTCGTAATCAGGTTCAGTCACACATTCTTCAGACATAGTACTCACACCCAGTTACATTCCCCTGTAATTCAGCCCCACCAGGCAACGCAGGGTGTGCTGCAGCAGGGCAGAGGGACACGTCAGAACTTTATTTCAGAAGCAAATGCCTGAGCACAGGGCACTACAGAGAAGCAGCATCCCAGCAGATAGCACCAAAAACTGTCCCCTTGCAAAACTCAAAGCCTCTGAAGGCAAATCATACAACCAGCACATGGAAAAACTTTAGTTAAGGAGCAAGAGCAGAAATGTCAAACACCAGACTTCACACACTGTGAAGGAGATCGGCTTCAGCTCTTCCATCAGCAACAACTGCTACACCTTTTAAATAAACAACCCACAAGGCTGTCAGACAACAAGGATTTTCCCTTCTGCATGCAAGAGAAGCTGCTGAAGGAGAGAGAAGCCTGAAAGCCACCTTTCTGCCACAAAGAAGTGGCAGTAAATAGCTCAGGTTGAACTGATTCATGGCAACCTCAAACAATGCATTTCTTATAAGCAGCTACCTCATACCAAGAACTTCAGCTTTCCTTACTAAGTAAGATTAGAAATTAAAACACTTATAGAAAACTACTTAAAACAATTTCAATTGACAGGAATAACAGCAAACATGACTCAGTAAGGAGACCTAAATCCTTGATTTTAAAAATATCTTTCTTATGCCATCATCTTCCAGTAAAAGCAAAGAAAAAAAAAAAAACCTTAAGGGAGAATGTCTTTCTGTTGAACATTTCATACCTTACCAATGCAGTGAATAAATATCAGTTATCACACAAACAGGAACATAAAGGAAATCAGATTTTAAAAAATTGTTACTTTTGGGTTTGGGGTTTTTTGTGCTGTGGGTTTTTTAATTAAAAAACAAAAAGAAACAAAAAAAAATCCCCACCGCCTGGTAAAAGCAGCACTGTCAGAAGTTAGAAAAAACAGTTAAAATGGCGAAGGAGAATCCAGAATACACCATGAAAGACAATGATTAAAACACACTAGCACCCTTTGACAATCTTCACCATCCTTCTATCATTCTCCTTTAGTATAGGTAACTGCATTAGTAGGTATCCTAGCCTAAGTACTAAGAAGGGAACAGTCGTAAAACTGAAGGGGAAGCAGGAAGAACTTTGAGATTTGGGGTACACTAGATAGGGCATAATTAATTTCCCTTTTGATAAATCTTTGCATTCTCCATTTTTGAGCTTTAGCACAATTGGATCACCAATTCACTTAGCAATCCTAATGGTGCAGAGTGTTTGAGCCTTCAAGTGCCCTTACTGGGCCTCAGAAACACCAGAGCAGGATGCATTTCATTGGCACCAAAACTGTGAGAAATTTGGAAAATTTCAGCTGTTCTTACTGAAGTATGAATCTGATTACAGTTTCATTTTATAAAAGGATGCAACACATGATATGCCTAAACATAAAAGCAAATGTTTCATAGACTCTTAGGGTTTCAACAGATACTAAGAGTTTATCACATTCCTCTTTGAAAACCACTCTTTAATTATTATAGCTTGGTTCTTATTTCAAACAAAAATTATCTCAGTTGTTTCTATGGGTCTTGTTAGCCTTTCCATAACAGAAATGAGATTCAGCCAAGTAATTACACAACTATTCTCACTTATTTTCCCCTATCTTAACAAATATGCAGACTCCACTAAAACCCCAACCTGTTTTCTTTTCTTTATTTGTTTAATGAGACAGATCTTCCTCCAGCTGTTTTTTATTAACTGTTGAGGATGCTTGTGAGGCATTGTCAGACTCCAATTTGGTTTTCCTACAGAAATTGTTTTTCTAGTATAATCATTTGAAATTTTTTTGCCAGCTGAAGGCAGATGAGAAGGATGCAAGTTCTTATATGTAGAGTCACCTTAAATGTGTTGCAAAGGGCCAGTTTTACATAACAAACTAAATTCCATGAAACAAACATTGTGTAAGAACACTGTACTTTCTTAATCATGAGTTTACCTTCCTCTTATCTGCTCTCTACATGACCACTTATTTCCTTGGAATGCTTTCTCATAGCTATTGTAATACACAGTAAGCTTCACAGTTTTGTTTCCACTGACAATGCAAACCTGACTTTTTTTTGTCACAGTCAGAAGCACACATAAATAGCAACATTATTCTTGTATAAACTTCTTTTTTTTTTTTTTTTTTTTTTTTTTACAGGCCTAAAAGGTATTCTTTTCCTATTAAGACTGTCTCTGGAGGCTGCTTTAATAACCTTCACCTGCACACTGAATACTCTGCACAAATAGATAAGGAAAGAAATCTTGCCTGAGTTTTCAGTGCCAAACAGCCAAGATAGCTATTGGCAAAATAAATTTATTAACAAAATAATGGTTGATTATTACTTACATTGTACTGCATATGATGCCAATACAACAGCAGAACTAATGGGGCATGACAACCTGGAAAGGAGAGGAAATAAATTTATTTAAACATAGGCTGTATGTATGTCTTATTGAAACTGTCTCACAATTAGTTCAGTATGCGAAGACTGATTTATCTTCAAGAGAGTATCTGATTTTTTCTTACTTAGTTTGATTGTTAAAGCACAGTACAACCAGATATTAAACAGTCCCTTAAGTGAACAGAAGGAATTAATCAGAAAAGGACATGCTCAAACTCTTGCTGGTTGCTTAGACAGGAAGGAAAAAGGAGAAAATATTTTTATGGGGCTCTGGACATTACTTTAATAGCTGCATTCTGGTGTATTTAAAACAAACACTAAAATTACCCAAATGCCAAGCACAAAGACAGCTCTGATCTTATGACCAAAACTCACTTTATAAAAGAAAAGGCCAACACCTGTAGGCAACTGACATTTGGCAGCAAATATTTGGACCATGTTTTCCTTTTTACTTTTTTAATGTACAAACACACAGAAATCACAGCCAAATAAGCCACTGGGTATATGCCCGCCATATAGGTAATATAACCCTGAAATAATGAGAAACTATAGCATGAACTGCCCATTGCTACTCCTGATTACTGCACTACGTAGAAGGTCCCCAGGTTTGGAATTCCATGCCTGGCACACCAAGCCTTGCATAAATACCTCTGTGGCTGATGTTGAGCCTGTTGACACATAGCATCTCCTATAGCTCAGTCACAACAGACTTTTAAACTGTTCTTAATAAGTGAGCTATGAGAAAGTTTGTAACATTTCCAAGCAATGTGATTTTCCTTTAAAACAATGTTTCACAAGGCATATTTATGGGAAAAATGGGATAATTTTACAGCAACAATACCCTCAGGTCAAAAGTTTTTTAATTTTATTTTTAAAAGAATTATAGAAAAAGTTAAGATTCTTATTACCTTCCTTCTGCAATATCAATCTTCAACTGCAGAAAGAATAAATGCCTAGAAAATATTTTTTGGGGGAAAAAAAACAAACGTGCATTTATTTTTAAATGGTATGATTTAAAAAGCTACATATATTAGTTTTACTTCATTAGATTTCCCAGCAAGCTATATAAACAGATGAACAAATATTGGTGGCATTTACAAATATGCAATCATACACCCACTTACTCTCACAACATTTTTAAGGATCTTTGGCAGTCTCTACTGCAACTCCAGGGCCAAGGTATTAATGTCACAATTAACACTACAAAAACCAAATCATCACTGAACTGGCTCTTTTTCTCCCTGGAATACTCATTTTTAATCCAATTTTTTAAAAAATTAAAAAGGCAGAACACCCCAAATCCCAATCAAAATTGACTGTGAGAGTCTATCTTGGAGCTACTTAGTGAAGGATGAGACATTTCTCTAGCAGCATATGCTGACAAAGAGCTCTTAAACAATTCTCCAAGAGCAGTTCAGTCTTCCTCGTTAGTGTGTTTGACCATGTTAGTTTATAGTGATACTGAAGAGTGGGCATGTGAAGAACTTTAAAGAGGAGATCTTAGAATAATTTCAGTTTTAAACTGCAGAACAGCTTGAAACTGCATGATTAACAAATACCAAAACAGGTGAAAAGCTAAATTTTCTACAAGAAATATAATTTCACATGTTGTACTATTTATATTCCCAAGTCACTGAAATTAATAAACAATGAAAATGTTACAGCAATGCCAGATTAATGGCCAGATTAACGTGTGCCTTCAAATTCTAAACTCTAATTTACAGGCACTGAACAAAATAAGTATTCAATTAAAATCTTGTGACAAATTAATTGAAAATTGCTTATAATTCATGCACCCCATCACCCCAAAAAATTCAGAGACAGGTTTAAAAATAAAACTTCAGAAGTCTACTGTAAACTGAAGCATTATACATGCTACAAGTAATGGGCAAATTAGAAAACAAGAACTGTTATCTGTTCTTCCCAAAAAAAATAAACCCCACCCTCCCACACCCTCAGCATTAAATCTACTACACATGTTCAAAACTGACTCAGTGTTGATACAAAACTAAGCTAGATAGACCTAGGGTAAGCAGACTCAAAAAAAAAAATATTCAAGATGCAAGTAAAGGTACTTTTAAAACCTACATCTTTGTACTAACTTATACTCCAGCTGTATCTCAAAGCTGTAAGCTGTGTATATCAGAAACTATTTATAATGAGCATGGCATTAAGTTCTCCACTCCAAATACATTCTATACCAAGAGTTTTAAAAAGTTATCTATGTAATAAAGCATAATTTGCCAAGCTGTAGACATGGGCAAGACACATTCTTAGTTCATGAAGGCAAACATCAAATAGAAGTTACCTGGTTTGTTCTTGCTGAAGTGTGTTAGGATCAGGTATAAAAAACCTTACACGAAAATGAAGCGTGCAGGGAAAACCTCCTGCAATGTTTTAGAAAGTAAATAAATATTTAGTTTAAAACCGAAAGAGAGCAATAATTTCATTTCTATATTTACAGAAAAATTACATGAACAACCACAAGTATTGTACATGAACAATCTCATGTATTTTTTTCATGAAACTGAAAGACACTATGAGAAGTCTCTCCTGATGCCCCCAACACCAACTTTGAGAAGAAAATACTCTCAAATGTAGTAATGCTTTCATTTAAACTACTACTTTGCATAAAAGGCATTATGAGCTTCCTTTGCTTCCTCAAGAATTAGAAGAGAGAAAAGCACTAAATATAGTTAAGGTGTCTCAGTTGGGATAATACTCAGTTCTACCTAACATATAAATGCATTAAATTACAGCAGTCCAACATGTTACTTTGGTATATGACTGGAAATAAAAATGTATGATCTGTAGCACAAGGCAGAAATGAGAGTGCTGAAAAACATATCTCAAGTGTCACAGCACAAACTGGGACAGTGCCACTTCTAAGCTTCTCTCCAGCCAGGGTTATGCTGGCTGGGCTGTCCTTATTGGTAGGCATTCTGTGTTACCCAGAGCTGTATGAAACAAGACATACTAGAACAACACATGCACCTGGAAGTGTGTGGCATGTTGTGGTTTTTTTTTTTGGGTTTTTTTTGTTAGTTGTTTTTTAATAAAAATGCATAAATTTGGGGTTTCTTATTCTATGCGAGACAAGAAATTGTCAGAACCTACCATATGAAACTGGCTATTCCTCCCTCAATCAAAACCCCTCTTCTTTTACTTCCCTCTCAGGAGGAATTTACTGGCACCACAATATGATTGCTGCTCTCATGGCCATCTAAGCATGTCTAACACTGCTGAGAAACCAGGTTTAGCTGCTATTACAGCATTAAAGTTAATAACCTACCAGGTCTTATTTCCACTCAGGCAGGAGTAAGGAGAAGGATCTGCTGAAAAGACTGGTAGACACAAGACTTGCTCTTGAAGAAAAATCTACCATCTGGACAATAGGCTTTTGTTCTAGCCATAAGAACATAGAAAAACAGAACTGCAAATTTACAATCAAGATAGTAAAAATAAGTCTTACCTTTTAACTGTTTTCTAATAGGTTTGCTTGGTTCAAGCCACCGCTGTGAAATGAAAAACTATTAGATGGATTAAAAATATTTACAAATAAATGCTGTTTATGTGCATGTGTGTGCATGAATATGTGTGTATACATACATGTGTATATAGTTATACACACATATACATGCACACACATTTATTATTTACTATACTTACAGGTGAATCTACTGAAGTCTCATTTTGCTGTAAACCAAAATATTCCTTCTCTGTCACACCCAGCTGGTTATAGGTCATATCCAACAAAATCTGTCCAGTGTCTTGTTTCTGAAAAAAAAAGAAAAGTTCGTAAGTGAAATCTGCAACACTTATACATTTTAAGATACAATTAATTGAAACTAATTTGGTTTTGGTTTTTTCCTAACACAACTCATGAACAAAACAGCCGCTAATTCATCAATTCAAAGTTTTTTCAGCAATAAAATCTTTATTCTGATAAAGGTTTGGATTTCTTCCCAAAATGCTTCAGGCACATGAAATTTCCTAATATGAAGAGACATGTATTCCAGCCCTTGATGTGAGTGCAGTAAATTCATTGTAAGCAGCCCACCCCTCTCTCTTGCCCACAGTGTGAGCCATGCCCTTCCCCGGAGTGGCAGTCTGCAGGGATGGAAGCACATGGGGCTGTTCTGGCCCCTGCTGTCACCACAAAGCAGCACGCTGTGCTTCCACATCAGCTAATAAAAGGCAAAGTAAGATACAGTAGGATGGGAAAAAAAAGGAGGGGATCCTGTGATCCAGGCATGAGATCCCATACTTCAGTCTGCACGTTCACCTGCCCCTTAGTGTCCACATGCTCAGCTGCCATTCAGCCACCTCATTTTCTGCCTAGATGTCCCCCATGACAGGAATCACAGAACAACTGGTACAACATGGTATCAAACAGGCAGCAGAGATCAGAAGTCCAATGCTGGTATAATTACCCCCAGACAAAAAAATAAACTCCATTGCATGGCATTGTGGAGAACAGATTAACCAACTTCTGCCACGGAACACTATGAACCAATTCCATTAAAAAAAAAAAAACCATCAAACACAGAAAGAAAAAAAACAAAACCCCCTTTAACAAGACTGCAATCCTAAATATGCTACTAAGTAATAGAGAGCTTGCTGTATTGGGTTTGTGTGGCTAGAGTTTGGTACCAGAGAGGCACCAGAGCAGAGATTCCCCTGCAGACCATGGCAAAGCAACTCTGTCCTTGTAGCCCATGGAGACCCACAAGAGAGGCAGAGATCCAGCTGCAGCCTGTGGAGGGTCCCATGGCAGAGCAGGGATGCTTGAAAGGAGCTTGTGCATCAATGAGAAGCCAGTGGTGAAACAGGCTGCTGGCAGGGACCTGCAGATCCATGAAGAGAGAAACCCACACTGGAGCAGGTTTGCTGGTAGAACCTGTGACCCTGAAGGGCTGCACCTCAGGGAAAAGCGATCCATATTGCAGCAATTTGTGAAAAAATGTGGCTCATAGGAAGCCCATTGAAGAACTCTGTGGAGAACTGTCTCCTGTGGGAGTGACACACAGTGGAGCAGGGGAAGGACTTCTGTCCCTGAACAGCAGGAGAAACAGCCTGTGGCAAACTTGCCAAAATCCCCATTCCCTGTCTTCTTGTGCCACTGCAGGGAGAAGTAGAGCCTCAGAAGGAGGGATGACTGGTGGGAAAGTGTTTTTAAGATTTATTTTACTTCTTATCCTGCTCTGATTTTTTTTGTAGTAAATTCAATTATTATCCCCAAGTTCAGTATGCTTTGACTGTGACAGTATTCAGCGAGTGCAGAGCTCTACAGCATCCTAGCTCTAGAATTTTATATATAGAATTGCTGGACTGAGCAAAAATCAGGCCAGTTTGCTTTTTTTATTGAAAAAAAAAAAAAAAAAGGAAACAAAAGAAAACAGTTTCCTAATTACTTTAAGATTTTTCCAAATGTCTCTCTTAAAAGCAGAAATAATCTGCACACATTGAAAACCCCAACCCAAAAAACCCCCAAACCAACAAAACAAAAACTCAGAGAAAAATTATTTGAACTGCAAAAGAAAATTATTTGAAATGCACTTTACTCTTGAATGTATTTTTTAAAAAATCAGTTCTGGTTTTATTATGTTCTGATTTCTTAAGAAAACGTCTTGATTTTTTGGAAAATAATGTCTTGAAACAAAGGACTTAATGTATAAACCACATTACTGCAGCTGGCCCCAGTCTTGCTCAGTATATAAGAGTGTCTACTTATAAGGCAATTCAATTCTTTGCTTAAACCTTTTTTGCTAATAGAGAAGCCCAGTAAGACCTGTTCAGAAGACAGATTTTTATGGGGTTTTTTTTAATAGGGTACAACACTCTTGTGATTGAGTGCTTTAAACTGCATTCTTTCCTTATCTCATAGGAGCATTCTTCCTTTTTAGAAAGATGGGAAAAGTAAAACAAAATTTCAAGCAAAGGACACCCACTTGGCCCATCTTATTTTGGAGGATGGAATATTATCCAACATAATATGTTGGATATTCTGCTAGAGCAGAACTCCTGACAGCTCATTTGTGACTTGAATGATCAGTGTTACCATATGGGGCTGTTGGCCTCCTGTGAAAAGCTGTGCCCATTTTTCTGGAGTAAAGTCACATGTGGAGAAAAAAATGTAGGCAACACCCAACTGTTGAGACTACCTTTTCCTCTCCAGCAGTCTCCCATCTTATTTAACTTTCGGAGAAAACAGTTGAGATCTTGCAATAAATATAAGTCCACACAGGCCTGTAAAGGCTGTGCAGCCACTAAGAGCTGCAGCTTTGTGCCCTCCTTCTACCCTAGCTGCACATTCCCAGTCCCCATCTTTCCAATAGGCTGCTGGAATAGTCAATCCAGAGCACCAATCAAATCCCACTTTTTTCTGAAATAGCGTAGGCCTAAAAACTCCAGCTTAGAAACCAAACTGTCAGTGACAGGTAAGGGCCATGCAACCACGCATTCCTCGTCACACAAAACCATGCACTGTCAGGCAGCTCTGTCCAGCACCATCCGTGCCATTGCCTCCACCATGCAGACTGAGATTTGTCTATCAGAAACTACCCATATATGTACACAAGAGTGCCTTATGGAAACAGCCGATTGTGCCCTCTGAAATAATGGGCATTTCCTCACATCAGTGAGCTCATCTTTAGCATTGACCATATTCATTTCCCCAGGGTTGGGTTTTTATAAGCAGAAAGTTAAACACTTTTAAGGGTCATCATAACACCTGCACAACTCAGAAGTCTAATTGGACACCTATGGTGTGCACCTTTGACAGCACCTAAATGAGCTTCTAAAGTTCTATTATGACCAAAAGCAGTAATTACAGGGGATGGGATAGATACTTTGATGAAAGAAGGTGATCAGGAATATCAGGTTTCATTACAAATAGGGCAGGAACAAGACCACAGAGGGCAGATTCTTCTGCTAACTTTTAGTTTGAATTTCAACACATCTTATTCCTTTTGGTTTCCTTTCTTCACAACAGCATTATCTCCGAATTCCTTTCTGGATTTCCATGCTTCCAGTCTTTCATCCCAATTCAGATGCCTTCACCTTCTCTCTCCCCATCCCCTCACAACTGCATTCCTGCCTCTCCCCCAGCATACATGAATTACTCAGCCTTCTCAGTGTTTCCTGTAAAGACAAGCAAGCTTCCCACTATGACATTCTTCCTTAGCAGAGCTCTCTCTGCAATGTTCCCATGGGTCTTCCAACACTAACCCCAGCTGTTCAGCCAGCACTAGTCTCATCCACCTACACATCTATTTACTTCTCTTCTGCCTCTCCACATTTCTTAGGGAAAAATAATTTCCAGAATTACTATTATATGGTTCCAGTTCTTGCCCTCTGATAATAAATGCAGAGTTTTTGTCCCATTGCCCAGATCAAGCACCCAGTCAAGAAATCTAAGCGAATGTAAAATATATTATTTTAAGTTGTTCAAGTCTTCTTGTTAAAATTCCCAATTATAAGGAAGTTTGTTATTTTTCAAGGAAATGTTTACTTCCTTAATTTTGGCATTGCTTTAAGAAATATTTGAATTATTTTTCAGTCTATACACTTAAAAGTGACCACGCAACTCATGCTGCACAGTCTTCAACTTATTTTGTAAATTAACAGTTTTGAGACCCAGGTGTAAAGTGAGGCAGGCTAAGCTTTGATGTTAAATCAAAGCTTCTGAATTTTGACATCCATTCCAATACAATTCATAGCCACAGCATATTCAAATATTATAATGTGTAATATTACAACACATCCTATTTTCACTCCCCTGTGCCATAGGAGGGCAAAAACATGAACACTGCTCAGCTATAATGGGCATTAGAATCAAGTTCTCCTTAACCCTATCAACCATTAGGGAAAGTACTTAAGGCATTCCTAATTAAGCTCCTGTTTTTCTACAGTGTCATTTAAAAATGATTTGTTTTCCTCACTAGCCTACACTGCTATAATGACACAAGCTCTTAAGAATTTCAAAGCTTTTACTGGAAAGAAAAACATTATCAAGAAGTTTGTGTTTCCACCTGAAAACAACTTTTCATTTATTTCACCTTCATGATATTTCTACCAATCCTTATTCTGAACTGTTAAAAGCTTTGCATCAACCACCTCATAACCACACACTATTCACCTCCACTTAAATCTGTCTTCAAATCAATTACAACTTATGTTGGATAGGCCAAAAATTAATACTTAAAGCACCTATAATTAACACATGTTACATTCTACCCATGCCACAACAAGCTCCTACAACATTTAGGGAATTTAAATTAGTCAAATTCAATTTCTAGTAAGTTAAACAACTGTGAAGAGAAAAAAGCCCTTCATTACTTTTTAATGTCAAATATTGCCTAGAACCCGGACTAGGCTGGTCTCACTGCCCTAACAACTGCATAAACTTAAGGTGAAAATGTTAGAACCATGGCCTAAAGAGGTAAATCTGCATGTAAAGTTCTTCAGATTGTTACATTCTCTGGTAAGCAGTACAAAGTGACAATTTCAGAGGACAGTGCAATGTAAAGCATATCTCCCTGTCCTCTGCAGAAGCTTTGCCCCAACTCTCAGGTAATGATAACCTCCCAGCTAAGCACCACCTAAGCTTCTGCAAATTCAGGCTCCCTTCAGACACAATGCCCACTGCCCTGCATGTGCTGTTTGAAGTCAACCTTTCCTAATTTAGCCTGTAACACTCATTCACAACCAGACAGCCTACGTCCTTTGGTCCTAAAAGATGCATGAGCCTGAATACAGTGCTACCACTTCCTTTT